GCTAGATCATACAAGGATGGGAAGTCATATTTCAAAGATCAGTTTCCACACCAACAGTCCTTAAAGCCTTACTCTTTATCAATTCCCTATTGCATATCTTACCCCTCTATTGAACTCTCTGTGGCTGTTCTCAATCCCCTTCCAAATAGAACATCCAAAAGTGTGTTTGGCTTTACCTGGCTCACATCCTGATATCCTCATACTGTATTTGGCTTGAATTACTTTCTTCCACAGCTCCCCATTCTGCTCGCTAAATCTCCCAGACCACTTTTGTCTTTCCCATTAATGCTGCATTCACTTCCTTCAACTTTCTCACACACAAGCTTTCAGATTTCTTTATCCAATACAACTTTTCATGCACACAAATGGAATTTCAAAACTGTAACAGTGTTGTCTAGACAATTAATATAAGGGGTATGCTTGTAAAGGTAGGTTTTTGTGGAGGTCAAAATACAGGGGAGGTTTGAGTATTTTTGTTATAAAACACGAGTACTTTTTAAATAATTTTCCCTATAGTAGTGGACTTCAGTAAGCTATAAAGCCAAATTTGGCTTGCAGATATCTGTGCAGAATGTCCAACTTCATTTGATGCATGTTTCTTGTATGTTTTTTTTTTTTTTTTCATTCTATTCATCTCCCTCTTCATTGAATGGATCTGGTTGGCTGGTAAATTATACTATTTCAAGTTGGGCAAAAGTACTTTTGAAAAGATCTATATGGTTGTCAATGGGTTGGGTTAAATGGTAAACCRGCCTTAACCCTATTGGATCTGGGGTTCAGTCAGCCTCAATCAGGAGTAAGGTTGTGTCAGGTCAGGCTGACTTGACCTGCACCATGTTCAGCAAACCTGAAGCAAACCTGACCATTGGCATCACCAAGTCTGCTCTGTTTCTTCTTAAAATCTGCATGCAAAATATGGTTGAATAACTAACTGGATTATCCATATGGGAAGCATACCTTCTAAAATTTTGCTTCCTTCGAGATGTAAAATAGTTACGGAAGCAAGGGAAAAACCAGTCAGATTCAAGCTGTTTGCATCTTGAATCTAATTTCTATATCCATCCTTCAACAGGTAGCTGATAAAGCTGAAAAATGATTTTTCTTCAKCTATACCTGTATCTGTTGAGTGTAGACACTATATATGAGATTAAATAAAGGGAACGCAATGCATGATACTAGTCCTAGAGGTTGGGACCACTGGATACTCCTCACAAACAAGAAAGAACTCAGTGGCTGTAGCTTTAAAAGTTCACATGGATTATAGAGCTCCAACTTTTCTAATGGACATATATATATACTAACAGAAATGTGATTTTCTATTCTTTTTGTAGATATTATCTAAAATCAGTGTTTTGTAATGACCACTTTGTTTCTTTGGTTGAGGGCTTTAGAATGGCCGGTTTGTTATTACTTATTAGTGGAACTGCTGTACATTGGTAAGATAGCATGTGTTAGGCTGAATGGCCACCTAAAATGAGTACCACTTTATTTCTTTTGTAATGCACCACTTTTCTCATGGGATTGCCTCAATTTGATTGCTTTGTAAGAGGACATAGGGCGAATTACTTGGCTCCCTCTGTRYTRMAAWWWKTATCTCTCCAAGGATACAATTGTTAATTTTCTTTTGTAAAACTAGTGATTTTAAGATTAAAATATTTTGACTTACCTGCCTACCTATTTTACTTGTGATAGTGAGCTGACATTTCTCATTCTTCTCTGCCCATGTCCATCTGGGTATTGTACAAGGAATGCATTAGGCACATCAAAGATTCAACTTCCGAATCATCCATGAACCCAATATGACAATGCGTCTTGAACAAAGCAAAAAAGGCCATTACCCAATTTTGGTCCTAGCTATTTGGGTTCTTGGGGGGTATCCAGTACTTATTGGAATCTTTGCATAAGGCTGTCTCTCTCAGACTCAAACACATAAAGAAAACAAGAATAAAGAAACAAGAACAAGCAATATTTACGTGGTTCGGCATATTGTGCCTACATCCACGGAGGATCCATGCATATTTTTATTATTTCTGAAACAACTGTTGCAACATATGCAAATCCTTCTTTATACAATGACTTTCTCACCACCTTGCCCGGCAGATGGTATTCTTTCCACAGGCAACTCTCGGATGTGTATACTTTTTAAACACAGTCTGCTTGGGAAGATTGTGCAGCTCCAAAACCTGTATGCAATGCCTCTTGGCATTCTCAGCTGTGCGGTAACCTTCAATAAGCTTCCTCTTACTGGCATTGATTTTCTCACTGAGAGCATCACCCACTAGCATGGGTTCCACTGTCTTGGCCGTCTTAATACCATCTTAAGTTTCCTTCGCCTTTACAACATCTTTTGATGCATGTCTGTTGCCATCCTTCGAAGTGGAATCAACCTTCTTCTCTTTACTGTCTGCGTCTGCTATCACTTTAATCTCCGTTTTGTCACGCCCCACAGACTTTGAGCCACTGCTCTTGTTTTCCACTTCCAATGACAAGATTGACTCCATGAGTCTCTCCCTTTTCATACCGAACTCCTCTCTGGACGATCCAAAGCTGCAACCTTGATCGCTCTCTCGATCATGGTGAATATGTCAAAGTCTGCACCACGAAAAAATCCCCGCCAGTATTCCAGTAAGTCGGATTCCGAGGCCGCCATGACCGTCTAACCCGCAAGAACACAACTAGCAAAATCACAGAAACAAAAACAACCCAAACAATGAATGACTAAGCCGCAAACAATTGGACAGAAACAAAACAACCCCAAGCAAAATGACAGAGAAATGAACTAAAATTTTCCTCCGATCGATCCAAGCTATTTATAAATCTTAGAAAGAGTTAGAATCAGTTTTCAAACAGTGATTAGAATATAAAAACTTCTAAATTTGTTACCAACAGTGATTAGAATATAAAAACTTCTAAATTTGTTAACTTACTTAGTATGGAAGGTACAACACCGAGTGGAAGTCTTCATAACTGAAAACTACCAAAAAAGTGGACACTATATGTTCCCTTCGAGACCGGATCTGCTCTCACACCTGTCACTTCACAGGCGCCTCAAATGCACATCCTACCATTGGTAACATCTCACATCTCCCAATGAATGGTGGATATGCATGTACGGAGCCGATTTGTGAGGAGCAGATCCCGTCTTGTCCCTTCTTACTTCTCAGTTCTCACATTAAGTCCGAAGTTGACACGGTTTTCTTCTCATTCGGCCCAGCTATCAGCTATTTGGGTCGGTTCTACAGACCCAAATAACCTCTGGGTTATGAGTCACCCATAATGGGTGGTCTCTCTTAGCCTGGCTTGGTCCAACATTTTATAAGGCTTAGATTTTCGGTCTGGCTTGGACCCAAGAAGTCTGGTTTTTTTATGTTTTAGGTCGGGTCTGGGCCTAATTCTTAAGAAATCCAAATCTAGCCCAAATCCGATCCAATTATACATATTCATATGTACATGTATATATATAAATTTTGCATATATAATAACACAAATGTATATGCATATAAATGTATATACATATTTGTATGTATAGTATGTATATAAATTTGTATATACATTTACCTATATGTATACATATTTACAAACATTCTTTTAGTTGACTACCGAAAGTTTTTATTATGCCACATCAACATCAGCTGTGAAACTCTGAAGCATATATTGTCAATCAGTAAGAACACGCACCTTTCAAGGTCCTAATAGAAACCTCTATGAGATATAGTCATATATCTCTTGTTTATTAGTCTGGACTCATGCGATGGACAAGGTTTATTAAATAAAATTGAAGAAATAATTTTATGACTTTTAATTAGGGATGAAAATTTTGTGGAGATTTAGGATATTCAATTCATTCTGACTTCTAACCCTAATAGGACTTATTTATCAAAACCCTATAGGGTTTGGGATAGGTTTGGATATTAAACTTAGGGTGCTTGGTGTCTAAACCCAATTATACTTACCGTGGGTACCCACTCTCAATACCTGATTTTATATATATATATATATATATATATTGTTGAGAGAGGATGCAAAACCATGCCCTTGTAGCCCATTATAGGCATCTCTAGCACTAGTTTCGAAGTACTGAAAATGATAAAGAATATTAAAAATGCAATTAAAATAAATGTATTTTGATTTTGGATATGCATGAATGCAATGGAAAAATTAAGATACATATGGATACATTAGGAAAATTCAAATATATTAAAAATATATAAATTTTAGATAATTTATAGCTCTAATAACTCTATACATAAAAAATATGTTTTAATAGTTTGACTTTCCGTGAAGTATAAAAGTATAGGGAAGAACGACCCATAGTAAAAGGGAGGTAGCCAACTAAGCATCTATCTGTATGGCATTGATGCCATTGCTCCGGAAAATGGCAACACATCAGCACCACCTCAAAAAAAAAAAAAAATGATGCTCCAAGAAATGCTTTTGTTTGGAATTGTTTTTTCATAAAAAATAGTGCTCCAATAGGAATATAAAATGATAGCGACAAAGACACGATGTGGCACTCAATGGATAAAACATTAAAACACCATTTTCTCAAAAAACGGTACTTACAATCCACACAKCAGTACTGCAGCATCAATCCCAAACAGTGATTACTTGGTTGGCACGTTTAGGTGGTCCCTAGCGAGGTGCGGTATCTAGCCTATTTTTTAATCTCACTAGAGAAGAGTTATTGAGGTTATTAGAAAAAGATAAAAGTAATGTAATATGTCAAGAAAAAATTGAAATACGGCCTCCATAGGGGCTAAAGCGACTAATTTAATACCAAAAAAAAAGTAAAAGGGAGATATGTAAATTATAATTTACCTTGAAGACGGGTTTGGGATCAACTATGCTCGGACGGGTTTGAGAAGGGGAAGTGTGAGTGAAGGGATTGATATTCGCCGCCTCTCCTTGAGTCCTTGACAATCAAAAGATGACAATATTGGCTGAGCTACCTGCTTGTAGTTGTGACTCTGCTCATTGACCTGTGCACAAAAGGACATCAACTCACCCACTACCAGTCTTGAGTCTCCCACTACTCGGAAAGCCGAAAAGCTTGACCCCTTTGTAGTTTGGATGATTACTTGAAGTAAACATTTGCTGACTTGCAGTAGACTGTTATCTCTTTCTCTGAATATGGCCGCGGTGCTGGACTCTCTGAAAGAGTTTATAAAGTTTCCACCCATTCAATCTTATTCGTATAGAAGAACCCATTTTCATTTGGTGTGCTGCCACAAAAAACATGGGTTGGTCATCTTCCTTAGGCTTAGAGAAACCTCTCTGCATGCTTCCTTTAGTACCAATCTTTTTAGTTATCATATCAGCTTTTTGTTCCATCAACTCCTATGCCATGGCCTCAACCAACAATACTACACCTCTCGATCAAACCGAGGCCCTACTCAAATGGAAAGCTAGCCTCTCCAGTAAAACCCAATTGGTTCTCTCTTCGTGGAAACGTGTTACTGGTGATTCTGCCATGAATTCTTCTTCCCTGTCTCACCCATGCAATTGGGTTAGAATTTCTTGTAACCAGGATGGAAGGGTCACTGAAATTACTCTACCAAGCATGGGTTTGCAAGGTACGCTCCATAACTTGAGCTTCTCATCACTTCCAGATCTCGCTGGTCTTTATCTTACTAATAATACACTCTTTGGCAACATTGCACCACAAATCAGTACCCTTTCCAATCTCACCTACCTTGACTTATCTGTCAACCAACTATTTGGAGAAATTCCACAGGAAATTGGTTTACTAACAAGTCTCCAAGTTTTGTATCTTCACCAAAATTATCTCAGTGGTTCAATACCTTCAACCATAGGAGATCTAAGATATCTTACCGATCTCGGTTTGCTATCCAACAATCTCAGTGGATCAATTCCAGCGTCCTTGGGTAAGTTGAGACACCTCAGCCTTCTATACCTCTCTAAGAATCAACTTTGTGGTTCAATTCCTCCAGAGATAGGAAATTTAGTTTCTCTTACAGTATTGTCATTGCGAACAAATAATCTTACCGGCTCCATTCCTTCATCTTTGGGTAATTTGAGAAACCTAACTTTTCTTTACCTATACCAGAACCCTTTGTCAGGTCCTATTCCTCCAGAATTAGGAAACTTGATAAATCTAATTCAGTTAGACATGCCTGTTAATCATCTAACAGGCTCCATTCCTTCCAGTTTGGGAAACTTGACTAAACTCACATCCTTGCAGCTTTTTGAAAACCAGTTATCTGGTTCCATTTCATCAGAACTAGGATCACTTGAGTCACTTATTGGGCTCATATTATACAAGAACAACCTCACTGGTTTGATCCCAACATCCATAGGTAATCTGAGAAGTCTCATTAAGCTAGACATGTCCTCAAATCAGCTTACAAGACCAATCCCTCCCACTTTTGGCAGCATGGCTAACCTCACCTATCTGAACCTTGATGGGAATCAATTATCCAATTCCATCCCTCCATCATTAGGAAACCTAGAATCTCTTAACCTTCTGAGCTTGAACACAAATAGCCTTGTGGGTATGATCCCAACTTCTTTAGGTGATTTGAGCAACCTTGTCTTACTTGATCTTAGTAAGAATGCACTCTCAGGCATCATTCCACCTCATATTGGTAATCTTACCAAACTAAAATACCTTGATATTTCTGTCAATCAATTCTCTGGTAATATTCCTTTAGAAATTGGCCTACTTACAAGTCTTCAAATCTTGTTCCTGGACCAGAATCATCTCAACGGTTCAATACCTTCAAGCATAGGAAAATTAACATACCTAACTAACCTAACATTGTTTTCCAATAACTTCACTGGTTTGATTCCTACATCCTTGGGTAATATGAGCAACTTAGCCAGTCTATATTTATATGACAATGAACTTTCTGGTTATATTCCTCAAGAACTTGGAAAGTTGACAAACCTCAGTGAGTTAGACTTGTCCACTAACCATTTAACAGGTCACATCCCTTCTACATTGGGAAACTTGACCAAGCTCACAGTCTTGCAGCTACTTCAGAATCAATTGTTTGGCCGCATTCCTCCAGAGATAGGAAAGCTCAAATCTCTTAAAAAGCTATTTCTCTTTGAGAATGAACTTTCTGGTTCAATTCCTCAAGAAATAGGAAATATGACACATTTAGTTAGTCTCCAGGTGCATAACAACAATTTCTCTGGTTATTTGCCACAACATCTATGTATGGGGGGGTCTCTAGAAAACTTTACTGCTGCTAATAATCATTTCACAGGTCCCATTCCAAAAGGCTTGAAAAACTGTACAAGCCTATTCAGAGTTCGACTTGAAAACAACCGACTTCAAATGTATCAGAAGATTTTGGTGTATATCCATGGTTGAATTATATGGACTTAAGTTATAACAAATTATATGGAGATCTTTCACCGAAGTGGGAAGAATGCCAGCATTTAACAAGTCTACTACTGTCCAACAATAAGATCACTGGTAGAATACCACCTGAATTTGGGAAGTTGACTGAACTATATGTACTTGACCTTTCCTCAAATTATTTTTTCGGAGAACTTCCCAAAGAATTTGGAAAGATGAGTTCTTTACTGTACTTGAACTTGAGTCAAAACAGGTTTTCTGGTGCTTTGCCATCAGAAGTAGGATTATTGCCCAACCTTGAAATTTTAGACATGTCAACCAACTATTTGAGTGGTCCAATACCCAATGAATTGGGGGGGTGCTCTAAACTGTCATACTTGAAGTTGAGTAGAAACAGATTCAGTGRAAGCATTCCATTCCAAATTGGTAATATAATTTCCCTGCAGTGTCTATTGGATCTTAGTCATAACAGACTCAGTGGAGTGATACCATCTCAATTTGGAAAGCTTCACAACTTGGAAAATCTAAATCTCTCTCACAATGATCTCTATGGTTCTATTCCTTCCTCATTTGATGGAATGCTTAGTTTGACATCTATTGATCTATCTTACAATCAGTTGGAGGGTCCCCTTCCCAGCAACAGAGCCTTTCAAAATGCCCCACCAGATGCTTTCAAGAATAATAAAGCATTATGTGGCAACAGAAAAGGTTTTCGGCCTTGCAATTCTCCTACTGGAAAGAAAGTGAATGACAAGAAAAAGCACAAAGTCATAATTTTCATCATACTTCCTCTTTTAGGGGTATTATTTCTTCTGTTCACATTTGTTGGTATTGCTTCTGTTTTTCATCGAAAGATGAGAAAAACATAAATAGAGCAAAGAGAAACAGCAGTCAATGGTAATCTATTTTCAGTATGGAATTTTGATGGCAAAATATTGTACCAAGACATAGTTGAAGCTACAGATGATTTTGATGCCAAGCATTGCATTGGAGTGGGAGGATATGGAAGTGTTTATAAGGCAGAGCTCTCAACAGGCCAAGTTGTAGCTGTTAAGAAACTTCATCACCCAATACATGAAGATGGTGAAAGAATTGATCTACAAACATTTGAAATGAGATTCATGCATTAACAAAAATAAGGCACCGTAACATTGTGAAGCTTTATGGTTTTTGTTCACACATACGCCATACGTTTCTAGGTGATGACAGACAAGCAATTATATAAGACTGGGCTAAGAGGGTCAATGCAATTAAAGTGTGATGTATATAGCTTTGGAGTGCTAACAATAGAAGTGTTAATGGGAAGGCATCCAGCTGAATTCCTCTCTCTGTTATCATCTTCATCAATGCCAAAAGCTGTTAAAGCAACGGAATTGAATAAGTGTTGGATCAACGCCTTCCCCCTCCCATCCTTCATGTCACCCAAGAAGTAGAGACTATCATTAAGCTTGGGATTGCATGCTTGCATCTTGATCCGCAGTCTCGACCCACCATGCAACACGTATCTCAGCAGCTGCTAGCCTGATAATGTCAAATTGTCTTCACATTCAAATAAAGTAAGGGCAAGTACTGAATTGTTAGAACTAATTGTATGGGTGCAGTAGAAAAAGTTGGATTTAATAGTTTCATTTGGTTTTATTGACATTGAAATAATAATTCTCTTTTTTCAGTAATCATTGCCATACCAAAACAACATATCCGAAGACTGTCATTGATTTTCATACCATTTAGATTCTTTTTCTCTTTCATTAATGTTTGTAAATGCTAAACGAAATTAGTCAACCATGTAGATGCAAACCTCAAAATCCTTGCTACTATATGGAAAACCATTACTTGACAAATCCAAAGAACCCAATCCAGTGGAGGGACTTTCTGTATTAGACACGAGTGCTATGGTATTGGCATCCACTTTGCCAACATTTTCCATTGTTAAGTGGCCTCTTTTACTATGAAAGAAAGGTTCAACATTGGAGAGAGAGAGAGAGACCAATTACTAGGGTTTGCGTCCCACTCCAGGTGTATGGGAGACATGGGATTAATTGGCTAATAGGTCAAATCAGCAAATCATATTGTTTTTTCTTATGTGGCAAATGTTTTTGTTTTGAAACTCAATTATACACATTGGTGAACATCTCCTTAGTGAGATTGGATTCGGTTCTCACAAGACCGTGCTCACACTGTCCTTGCAGCCACTTGCAGCTGTGCATTGGGAATATTTCCATACTTATATGTTTTTATTCATGGGAGATATTCCCAATACACAGCTACAAGTGGCTATGAGGACGGTATGAGAACGGTCTTGTGAGCACTGAATATGAGTTCTTCCTTAATTACCTATATTGGTAGCTTCAGAACGATATGGGATCTGCTGCTAACACTAGCATGTGAACCATGCTATGTAACCAATCATTAATGAACACGCCAGTGTTCCGTACACCATGTGTACCATGTTTGCACAGCTGTGTTAAGCCATGTCTATGGAGAAAATTTGTTGGGAGGCATTTGGTTTGATTATGCATTATAAGTAACGGAAAAAAATCCATTAGTGTAGCTGGTAGTTTTTATGATTTGTTTGGAAGCCGTTGTTTCTTTAACAAATCTCTGGTGGTTGCATTTCATTTAGGCCAAAAAATTGACTAAATTTTCAGTTCATTAAAGCATTTTTTTTTTTGTAACAAATCACCTAGATCAACAAGAATAGTCTATCAGTTAAGTGGTTGAGATAGATCTGGGTTTTTGCCTGCCCATTTTTTGGCCAAATCTATGCCTGCGGTTTTTGGTGTCTAAACCGTTGGTATTGACTTAAGCTGTTAATGCCGAAGGTGGAAACCACCAGTATAGATCAACAATTTTATGATTTTTAACTTATGCCAATTTCATGATATGCCGACAGTTATGCTTATCTGTACCGGCGGTTTGGAACGCCGATATTTATTTTGTTCTACTTTTCCCGGTGGTTTATAACCGATGGTATAATAAAACATATACCGTTAATTCTGACAAACCGCCGGGAATGGTTAATTTAATGGATGAATTTGATGACACCTATGCTGGCAGTTTTATAGGGCTTTCCTGCTAGTCTTGATTTTTCCTGATAGTGGCTATATTAGGAAAGAAAGGCCACCAGTAGACCGCTAGTAAAGGTAAATACCTAAAATTCAAACCATCAACCATCATTCACAGTACATAAGCTTTCAATCATCCTTTAGATAAAATCAATTCAACACCTAGTAATAACGTTTATATGCCTTCCAACAATATGCAGGGAGGATCAAGTTTAGCCTAAACCATATCCGTACAGGTTGTAGAACCCCAAAATCTATTCCCATCCCAAAATTCATCCTTTGAGGAAAAAATCCTACCCCATTGGGGCGGGTTCCCACCGGGTAGGGTAGAAATTTCCATCCCTAAAGGGGGGTAGGGTAGAAATTGCCATTCCTAAAGGGTAGGGGTGTAAACGGATCAAATTTGAATTGGATAAGGCAATATCCAAATTCGAATCCGATTAGAAAATTCGATTCAATATCCGACGGATATTGAAAATTAATATTCGAATTCAAATTTGATTAAATATTCGAATATTCAATTCAATTCGAATTCGACTAATTAATTATTTTATATAATTAATAAATATATAAAATAAATATTTTATTTATATAAAGTGTATAAATATATAAATTATATATATAATTAATTATTATATATATAAACATTTAAAAATTTTATATATTATATATAAAATTAAAAATCAATCGAATTCAGATATTTATCGAATCAAATCAGGTCATATCCGAATTTGAATCCGATTAGCTATGTGGTATGAATAGGATATCCGAATTCGACCGATTAGATATTCGAATTATCTGGATTCGATTCGATTATACTGAATCTTGATTTTGAAATTGGATTTTTGAATACCCTTGACACCCCTACTAAAGGGGGCAAAGCTGAACTCCAAAAGTTCAAAGGGGGTTTTTGTCGCAAAACAAAGTTTGGGGCGCTAAGTGTCACCACCTCCTAAGTAAAGGGTAGAAATCTGTAATTTATCCATATTTTTATTATACTAGCAAATATGCACATCCCATGCACGTGGCAATTTTAGATGGGGATGATGGTAATAATGATATTAGTAATATGTATCCAAATTATTTCATATTTTTTTTTATATTTCTATGTGTATAAAAAATATCTTACTTATTAAACTTATTTCTATTTAATATGGTAAATATATAATATTAGAGATGTGTTTAAAATTTTCCACAATATTTATGCATTTTTCCATATTTTTTTTGTATATATGTATAAATTTAATATTTATTATTTAATTATGACATGAATGGTTGACATATTTGAGCCAAAAACTTCAACTATTGATGACTTCCCACCAATCAAAAAACAATTCCATTTTTTAGGTCAGATTGAAATTTGTATTTCATTTCCGTCATTAACAAAAGCAACCTTTGTTTATCTCACTTATTTTTTTAGTATGATTAATATAAAATATTGGAGATGTGCCCAAATATTTTTTTATAACATTTTGTATTTTTTTATATTTTTGTATTTAACTTCTTTTACTTTTTATTATTTAATTATGACATCAATTGTTGACTTGGAACCAAACAAGCAAAAAAATTTATTTTTTGGCAAGTTTTAAATTTTATATTTAATTTTCATCATCAATCTACACAATTCATATTAATCACACTTGTTTTTCTTTAATATGATTAATAGAAAATATTAGATATGTGTCTAAATTATTTCTACAACTTTTTTATTTTTATAATTTTAAATTTATTTCTATTTTTTGTTTTTTTTAACTATGAAATCATGGGTTGGTCCACTTGGCTGAAAAAATTGAATTTCTGACTCACCATTTAGATGGAAGAACAATTTTTCTCCAAAGTCAGTTTTAAAAAATGAGTTTTAATTATATCGTAAAAAATATTAGATTTAGATCTTATTAGTAGAAATTATTGTAAGAAAAAAAAAGACCTGGAATATATGATTTAATGACTGAGAATGGGAGTCAATGCCTTAAGTATAACACTTAATGAGAGAGAATCAAATGAGGTAAAAAACTAGTAGTTCAAATGTCCTCAAAATTAGAGAGACCATATTCAAAGAAAGGGGTGTCTTAATCAAGGAAAAATTTTCACATCATTCATATATAGATATTGATACAAATAGCTGATTTATTTGTGATGTCATAAGAAGGATGGTTGAACTGTTGACCCACCACATGACAAAACGGTTAAATTGGTAACATGGGGCAAATTCTCTTTTATATGGTATATAAATTAATTTGATGCTTATTATTTCTTTAAATTAATTATTTGTTTATATAATATTAGAATTCTAAAAACAAGGACTAGTTCAGTAATTTATAATTTTTTATAGGCATATCCACAAATCATTTTGATAGATTAATATAAAATTAAATTTAACGAGATCTAATAATAAAATAAGGTATTTTGGTTAGGAATTATCCAACCAAAATAATTGATTTATTTATTATTAATATTATGAGACTTCTAATCTTATGTTATTATGTTTAATTAGTTATTTATATTAGGGAAAATTATAGTCAGAACCAGCTATACATTTAAAAATTAGGCTATAAGTTGGTCCAAAAACCAACAAAACTCTAACAATCAACTCTACATTTCAAATTATAAAAATGCCACCATGTCATCGAAGGCTTATGTGGTTGTTACCAACATGGGACTCTTAATCCATGTTGGACACAACAAAAATCTTATATAGAAATTGTCCTCAATGCCAGGTGATTTGAAAATAAGAAAGGGTTTTCGGTCTCTCTCTCTCTCTCTCTCTCTCTCGATCTCCCTCCCACTCTCTCACTCTCACAGTTGCCTCTCTTTGCTCAATGGCTGTGTGATTTGAAAACAAACAAAAATGGTTTCTAATTTCTATATTTATGTTCTCTCTATTAAAAACTTTCATTCTCTCTCTCTCTCTCTCAATCTATTGTTCTCCATCAATCTCCTCATTCTCTTTCTTGGTCAATTTCTCCTCCTTCATTCTCTTCTTGGTTGATCTCTTTTTCTCCCTCAGTCTCTCTCCCGCTCTCTCTTGTTCTTTTTTTTTTTTTCTTATACACTTATATGATATTAACCAGACTGTACAAAAGAACATGAGACCAACTTGGTATGGTTCTAAAATCATTACACCAATTTGTTAAAAATTCACAAGAAACTCTTGCTTATGTAATTTACACCAACTTGATAAAAATTTATAACTTGATTGTACAAGTGGTTGGTCCCTTAACTAACTTAATAGCTTATACAGTATTAATTAGACCGTATAAAAAGCATAAAGCCAACTTGATAAAATTCACAAATCATTATACAAATTTGACAAAAAATGCAAAATATTTAGAAAGATTTATGAGAGTGGAGAGGCGTTGTTAAGTTGGCCAATTGCATTATGTGTGTTTGTAGGGCATGAATAGAAATGCTGACAAATGTGATGTAAAAGCTCACCTACACATCATCATCTGAGCTTCATCTCCCAACTAGATTTGGTTGGCTACCTGAATGGTATTTGTCTATCGCAGAAGACTCCAGATGCATCCATTAATTAGCTTTTGCCCATCCTACTTGCATTATATGGGCAACATCCTCCTCTATCTCTCCCTTATTCTGAATTACCGAACCAAGTAGCGGACAATGCTACATTGAGTTATCTCTTGGTCTCTAATCCTAGGTGTTCCTGATTTGCACTCCTATTATTATAATCATCACCACCATTGTCAATAATAAACTTAGGTAGCATATATTATATTTGTTTCCTATTTATTTTAGAACCTCATGCTTCTAAAGGCATTTATCCATAAATTCAAATTCTCACTTAATTAGTTCCATCAATTAATACAATGTCATCAACAAACAATGAGCTCCATGGGACTTCCTCTTGAACATTGTTTTGTCAATTCATCTATGATTAGTGCAAGTAAATAAGGACCAAGTGCTGAGCCTTGGTGAAGGACCTAATGTAATTGTAAAATCTGATGTCTCCAACAAGATTTCTAACATTGGTTGTTTCATCTCATACATGCCCTTGATTAGGTCCACATGCCTGATCAAGCCTAGCAAATACGTGCTTATATAAATATGGTACAAGCTCAGCTATATTACAAAGAAACTGGATCTTACATATGGTCAGACACATGGATCTGTACAAATTGGTGCATAATTGTACCATTTTCTCCCCTATAACATCCTGGAAAATTTCAAGTAGGCATCACCTACATGGATAAAGGAGATTTAGAAAGGAAAGACATTTGACAAATTCTAGATTCCAACTCATTGTCTTCTAAGAATAACCAAGGGTTGAGCATATATGGGCTGAAGATTTTGATCACACCTGAAACATATAGACGTTAGGATCTAGATTATGAACCATTGGCTTATGACATACTTTGAGGAGGAGTTCAAGAAACCAACCTGAGCAATTCTCGCTTTCAATTTCTGGAGCTCATCTTGGGCACATATGAGCCTGAAGAAAGGGAAACTGATGTTTCAGACTTATTCACATTTCTTAATACTGGTAATATTTATTATTATTATTATCTATTTTTATCACTACCTCCACTGCAACTCTGTCAATTCTTGCAATAGTTCTTTTTCTCTCTCATGGGCAGCCTCCAACTGCAAACAGGAATTAAGGTATGATGTTAATGCAAGGCCAGATATATGAAAATAGCAAATATTTACCTACACAAAGGAACAGTAATATTTGCCTAAAGTTCCTCTATAGATAGATACCGCTTTTCTAGTAACTAACCAGTTAAACAAGACTGTGAGTTGCATGGAAGATGAAAATCAATCTAGAAGCTTTAAGATTCAAATGGAAAGAGGTGTTTTGTTTCTTTTTCTTTTCCTTTATATTTCATTTGGCGGAAGGAGGAACCATAAGTGTCCCAATCACCTCAACTTTCAGTTCATTAGAAAGATTGACATGAATAAGAAAATTAAACCAAAACATAAAAAACATAGACACTACAAAGATTTGGAAGAAATTGTTCCAGTTCTTCAGATATCCTCAGTTGTAGGTTATCAATGATTCAATATCACTTATATTCTGTATTCTTTACCTTTAGTGGTTTTGTTAATGTCTGGTAACTTTTAAGCATTGTAGAGTTCCCATAGTTGAAGAGAAACTAACTACATTCATTGTCCTTGATTTAAATTAAAGTTTAGAGCTACTCCTTTATTATGTTTCTTCAATCTTGGAGTTGTTTGCAATTGGGTATAAATTATAATTGTGAAAGGAGATGCCAAATTGGTAAGACATTATCCTTGGTGCCTTGGTGCCTTAGTCTAAAAGGTAAAGTTACAACACCTTTATGGTTGTTTAGTGTGATGCAGCATTATTGTGGGAAAGTCTAATGTCCCTGACCCTTAAAGTAGGTAAGCAATGTTCCCAATATTTTAGCACAAAATCTACCCCTATTTTGTGAAATTTGATCATCATATTGTCACTTATCCATTCTTGTCATCATTTTCTGTTCAAAACTCAAATGAACCATCAATCCTGACCTCTCTCTCTCTCTCTCTCTCATGCAATGCATGGGGTTGAATAGAAAGTTGAGGACTATGGAAGATTTAAAGAAAAAAGTCATAAAATTATATTTTTGGTAGTAAATAAAAAAGAAAATTTATTAAAATAAAGAAACAGTACATCAAGAGTTACATTAGGGGTGATGAGAAATCACCAAAAAGAAGAAGAAAAAGCAACTAGCTCCAACTTTTACATTACTACAAGATGCTAACCAAAATTCCCTTCCAATTCAACAGTTTCCTAAAACTTTGCTTCAAAATAATCTCTTGAGATATCTCTGAATCCTGGTAGAATTAGTACCAGATCCATTAGCTTTGAGCCAATCCTCGAACACATCTGAATCCCTTTTGCAGGCTCTTCCTATAAAGATCCTTCTACTCCTTTCTTTCTTGATTCCCAATAGACAGTTAAAGGAATATAGCTCCAGAAGCTTTTAGCTTTCTTGTTTTCTTATAATGTAGTCCAGCAAGAGAAAATTTCTCTTGGTCACCTTGGAATCCAGAAGGCTTCATTGATCACATCTTTTTCATACTGACTAACAGGACAACCAGTGTGAACTTCATTTTATTTTTCCAATACCAAAATTAACCAATCCATCACAACACAACCATCAACTTGACAACGTCAACACTTCTTCCAGACTACTACCCATTAAAAGAAATCTATCTAACCTGAGAAAAGGTGCATCCTGCCCATTCAACCAAGTAAAAATTGACTGCAATCTCTTGCAATCATTCAACCCATTCTTCTAATAAACTCCCTAAAGCTCCTCATTGCTCCCATAACTTTCTTTTCCTTGCCCCCTTCCTTTCATTCATCTTCAAACACACATTGAAATCCCCCGCCCACAATGGAGTCACCTCCTCACCATTAGCACCTTCAAGCAATTCTCATTGTTTTGTGTAGAGATATTTTTGTCCAAAAAGATTAGGAGGATGCTAAAATAATGAATGAAGTTAAGAATTGAATATTGTTGTTGTAGTTGAGATAAAATCACCTTGTGGCATGCAACCGTTTTTATTTTTAGAAGAGCAGTTCTTCTAAAATACGTACCAATGACTTTTCTGTTACACTTGTGGGTGGTTGAATATACACTCCATCGATTGCATGACTAGCTGAAACAATGGAAACCAGATCTAATGATCTCAAAAAAGAAAAAAGTAGTAAGTGAAGAAATTTGGAGATAATTGAGTACTAGAACCTGTAATATCACCAGTGGAGACTTGCTTCATTGCACTTAGAACAAAATCCTATTTAATGATAAAGTGAAAAATAATAAGGATAGCCAACAAATAATTAGACAATGAGAAGACCAAATATTTATACAGAAGTCTCATACCCTTTGAAGAATATTTGTCTGCAAAATACTATGTAAATGCAGGAAATATGAATTGACAAGCGGGTTTGATGGTGTAGCATCAGATGATGGTGATAAAGCAACTCCAGGGAGTTGGGTAAACACCTACATAGCCAGTAACTTTCATATAAGACATTCAATTCAATTAATATGTTTCCCTTTAGCTAGTTGTATGCATATGAAGTCATGAACATGAACTACTGTTATCACTTTAACATTGAAGAACAATGCAGAGACAAACTACCTTTTATAAATGGATATTTATAATAGAAAGGAAAGAGGCAATTTCATTAACATGAATTTTCTGGCACAACTTAATGTTGGAACTTGTGTGTGGTGAATCAAAACCAATCCATGGGCCACCAATATAGGTGTAAATATAACAGGTCTAGATATTCCATTGTTTTACTCATTTGTGTTGGATGAACTTGATCAGATAGATTAAGAATACTTGGTAGAGTAAGAAATTAATAACACTTTCTATTGGGATAAAAAATCTCACAAAAATGTTAGAAATGAAACATCCTCTTGGCATAATAAAAGTCAAGAACTTTTTAGATGTCTTTGGGGGGAAAAGCTATACATGACTGCATTTTATCTTGTAACCACAAAATCAAGCAATAAGATACCAGTTGGCTTAGGGAGAAGTTGCAAATTAATTATATTTCATAATGGGATAGAAAAATTGGGGAGAGTGTGGCAATTGACTAAGAAGGGGACAGGCAAGGGAAGAGGGGAGTGAAGTGTTTCCTCTCAAAACTTTTGAAAACCCTTTATATAGTTGCAAAGGTATTAAGAGTGGGGCCCTAAAATCTTTTGTTTATTACTGTAGAGAAGATGGAGGGTAGTTTATGTAATTTTACTTTTCTTTCTTGTAATCTAGTAGGCATGTACATTAGTGTACATCTCTTTTCTTTTATTTTTTTTTGTAAGGACAATCTTGTCCATTCTCATTATTAATATAAATTCTTTCTCTTTGGGTTGGTTCAATTAGATTGATCAACCCTAACAGATCTAGACTATTGGCTTTCTTCTTGTCTCTTCTCTTTCTTACGGATTAACATGGTATTAGAGAGGGCTGTTCTTTGATCCATTACCCCATCTTTCAAACTATTTGAGGGCTCTTCATCTTAATCGATTGGTTTTGGACTGTTTTGATCATTCCAGGAACCAATTTTATGTGTTTTGCACAATTAGCAAGAGAGATTTCATTGGATCTCTCTAGAAAGACATCTATTTGTAGTCAAAATTGAAAAGAAGTGTCGCTTGGTCCTTTTCATCATCCTCTGAAAGTTTCATTGAGATCATAGAAGAATTGAGAGAGATCTATACATCTCTTCTCAGTGGAAGTAGTCAATCTTTCCTTTTTTGGACTATGTTCTTAGGTTTCAACTATTTTTGTACCTTGAACACTCTCTTTTGACTATAAGAGGTTTCTTCTGTTATATTTTTGACCCTATTGGATTAATACTCTGCTTATATTGCATGCTTCGACTAGTTTTGCTTTGTGTTTTTACTTGACATGGGTCTTGAAAAGAGTGAATTTATCTCTATCAAGTTTGGTGGAAACAAATATGCTCTCTAGGAGTTTCACTTCCAGTATTTTATTGAAGGGAAGGGTATGTGGGGTTATATTGATGGGTCCATACACATACCCGATGTTGGTGATGTCAAAGGACTAAAATAGTGGAAAACTTAGAATGCACAAGTTGTTTTATGGATTCTTGGTTCTGTCACGATGGATGCCAGTATTCCAATGAGGGGATTCAAATCTGCCCATGACATGTTCGAATACAATGAAAAGTTATATCAACAATCAAACATGTCTACGCAATATCAGATTGAAGTTGATATCTTTTCTTATGTTCAAGAAGAGAAATAGATTTAAGAAAATTATATTGGGTTTGTGAACCTCTGGATTGAATATGAACTAACTCACTTTGGGAATATTCTATGGACTGTTGTGTGAAAACTATGAAGAAACATACCAATAAGAGAAAGATTATGCATTTCTTGATGCATCTTAGATCTAATTATGGAACTTTGCGCTCTAGTATATCAGAAGAGAGCTTGTACCTGATCTTGACATAATACTTGGAGAGTTATTAAGGGAGGAAACTCGTCTCCTCACTCAGTTTGCACTTTGATCAGAAGAAGGAACATGGAATAGATATTGTCTTCTTGGCTACCAAACAGAAGGGGAAGATGGACTTTGGACACATGGCATCCCACTGCAAGAAGAAAAGTTTCTGCACCTACTACAAACAACAGGGACACATTATAGTGGAATGCCCAACAAGCCCCCCAAGACAGGACAACATAAGGCTTATCATGCCTTAGTTGAATCGACTCCAACTGATATTGCCTCCTCCTCATTAGCTCACAAAGCTGATTCATAGGGAAATTTGATTGAAGATAAGATTGTGAGCTCGTGTCCTCGGCTATTTCCTCAACTTTTTCTACTATTGGATTGGCTTAAACTTTTGCTTTTTTGTGTTCTTCTCCCTTCACATATGTGGATTATTGACTTTGGGGCCTTAAACCACATGACCGGGGCTTCTTTTGGTTAGTATTCTAAATCCTACACCTCTGTCAATGACATTATTACTACTAATGGTGATTCTCTTCCTGTATGTGGGTGTGATTATTTATTTCTATCCACTTCTGAGCCTACACCCTTACATCTTTCCAAAACCTTCTTTGTGCCTAAGTTGACTATTAGTCTTATTTCTGTTAGACAACTTGTTAATGATGGTAATAATGATTTGTTTACTCATGATGGTTGTTTTATTTAGGGCCAACACATTGGGAAGCTGAAGGAGAAGGGGCATAGGCTTGGGAGACTGTTTGCCCTGGAATTTGAGAATAATATAGTTTCACCAGACTCTTGTTTGCTATCTACTACTTCTAGTTTTTCTTCTACCTCTTGTGATAATGTGTGACACTTATGGCATAGACATTTGGGCCACACTCATGCTAAAAACTTGGATTATTTATTTTTTTTCTAGTTATTTGTCTATGACTGTTGCTTCATTTAAGAATGTTGATAAATTCTGTTTAACTTGTTACTATAGTAAAAACCATATTTTTCCTTTTCCATCTTCTACTAAACATGATTTTACACCTTTTTACCTTATTCATAATGAAGTGTAGTCATCTCTAGTTATTTTACACTTGGGTTATAAATATTTTTTGTTGTTTATTGATGATTATACTCGATATACATGGGTTTACTTTCTTTGAAAGAAATCAAAAGTTTTTCCCACTTTTAAGAACTTTCATGCTATGGTTATGGCCTAGTTTAAAAGTACTATAAGAATTTTGAGGTCAGATTTAGGGGGAGAGAGTACTTTGATGGTGAGTTTCAAACCTATCTCAAACATTATGGGATCCAGTCCTAGAGATCTTAACTAGGTACACCTCAATAGAATGGGATATTTGAGTGCAAGAATCGTCATATTGCTAGTATGGTGGGATCCTTGTTACAAGACTTCCATGTTCCCATTACCTTTTGGGCGGATGCGACCCACACTTATGTTCACCCCATCAACATTCTTCCTACTTCTATCCTTGGAAATTCTTCTCCCCAACAATCCTTGTTTCATTGTTCACCAAATCTATCAATGTTTCATATCTTTGGTTGTGCTTGTTTTGTCCATCTTCCTCCCCGTGAACACACTAAGCTAATAGCTCAATTATCTATTTTTGCATTTATGGGATATAGTATGTAACACAAGAGATTTCTCTATTATGATCCCAAAGTCTGTAGACTGCGCATTTCTTGTAATGTTATATTTCTTGAAAACCTTTCATTCTTCGAACATATTAGTAAATTGTTTGCACCATCCTTTTCTATTCTACATCATTTTGGCTCTGTAGGTGATCCTCCTCTTGTATCGCAGCCACTTCAAGTTTATTCCAATAAGCATCCAGTTCGTTCATTGCCTATGCCTCCTTCACCTTCAGCACTAGTGACTGGTCATTCCTCTCCATCCATCACTACTATAAGTTCCTCTTCTCATCATATTGGTTTGCCTTCATTTGCTCCTTTATTTGTGTCGATCATCTCGTATTTCTCGCCCACCTGACTGCTATGGCTTATTTTCTAGTCATAACTCCTTCTCTGTTGTTTTTTCATCCACAGACATTCATAAGTCTTACAACTAGGTTGTAATAGTTAAGCATTGAAAAGATGCTATGGATTCAAAGGTTTAGGCCTTATTGGAGAATGATACCTGGGAGCTTGTTTTTCCTCCCCTAGATGCCTCCATCATTGGCAGTCGATGTGTTTACTCAGTGAAACTCAAATCATATGGTACTCTAGACATATATAAGGTTTGTTTGGTTGCTCAAGGCCACAAGCAAGAATATGGGACTGTCTATGATGAAACTTTTGCTCCAATGGCTAAAATGACAAAATCCGTTTACTGTTGGCCATTACTGCTCTTAGATAATGGACAATTCATCAAATGGATGTCAAAAATACCTTTCTCCATGGGCATTTACAAGAAATAGTTTATATGAAACCACCTCCCGTCTATTGTGATAATCCTCTCTTGGTGTGCAAACTGAAAAAATCTTTATATGGTCTTAAACAATCTCCACGATCTTGGTTTGATCGCTTCTGTAAAATGGTGTTGGAGGCTGGTTTTCAACAGAGTGCTTCAAATTACTCTCTTTTTACTCTCAAGCGAGCACAAGGGTTGACTCTTCTTTTGGTTTATGTTGATGATATCCTTATCACCAGAGATGATGTGGATGGCATTAACAACTTGAAACTCCTTCAAAATGAAAGTTCTAGGGCCGATGACTTATTTTCTTGGACTTGAAATTCAGCGATGTTCTCAAGGTTATTTTGTTCACCAATAGAAATATTCTTTGATCTGGTGATACTTGCTCACTTGACTGACTTTAAACAAGTGGATACACCTTTGGAGCTTAATCGTAAGCTAAGTAAGGATGAGGATGAGCTCCTTCCTGAGTAGTTATGTAATTTTACTTTTCTTTCTTGTAATCTAGTAGGTGTGTACATTAGTGTACATATCTTTTCTTTTATTTCTTTTGTAAGGACAATCTAGTCCATTCACATTATTAATATAAATTCTTTCTCTTTGAATTGGTTCAATTAGATTGATCAACCCTAACAGATCTGGACTATTGGCTTTCTTCTTGTCTCTTCTCTTTCTCATGGATTAACAATTACAAGCTTGCAATCCATTTCAAATTTCTTGATTCTATCTCTGCTAAGAAGGCATCTAGTTGTTTTGTTCCATCGATTCTTGAACCCATGGAAGATTATACATAAATTCATACACTTCATAATATGACATTTGCTACATATAGGGAATTGCGCATGCTTTCACACTCAGATATGTTCATATTTGACCAGTGCTATCATCATTGATATTATGCATCATGCAGTCGCACAAAAGGACAAAATATACATGGGCTTGTTGAGCACACGTTTTGTCCTTTAGTGATTTAAGGACTCCATGATGACTAGCCTCTTTTGCTAGCATTTGCTGTTCAAATTTATGTACAATAGTGTACATGTTAGAGAGAAGACTTGATATTCATTGGGTGGTTGTTTTTAAAGAAATAGAATAGAAGAAATCACAAGTAATAAAAATATGAGTCAGAAAACATACCTAAGCATAAGAGATAATGTAACCAGTGGATTGAACTACTAACCTGTACACTGTGGCTCTTCTGTAATATAGGGGATGGAAGCACCTGAGAAATGAATGACAAAGCTAATTCAAATTGCTGAAGACATGTGGGTCCAAAACCATGAATAATAATAGGAAACTTACCTTTTCTAGCTCAATATTCTCAGATGTCACCTTGAAACGTCCTTTTTGCTGGACAACTGGCCGCTTGGCTTTTTCATCAACATCTTCACCATTTGTTGCTGAAATAAACCAGTTCAGTTAAGTAAGAAGGTATGCAGTAAAGAAAATTTCAATTGTATTAGTCTGGTTGAGAGTAATTGAAGAAAAAGGAAAGGAATATATGCAAGCATGCCTGCCAATTTAGATGCTTTAGAAAATGTTCCAGAAGGTACATCATCTACCGCTGGTGGAGCCATTATGCCATTATTGCAGATCACAGAGTTCTCAGGATTGTTTTGCTCCTTATCACTGAAAAAGGCTATGAAATAAATACTTGTATTCCCCATATTACAAAGTGAAAATGGAATCAACTAGAAAATACATCATGAGACTAAAAGTGCATGTGCAAAATTTGTACTAACAACTACAACAAACAATCCAATCTTCTGCTTACTATTTGGCATTCATTCATTGAGGCTCTTTATTAAGTTATGGTATTTCTAAGTATCAACTTAAGGTATTTTTAACAATTGATTTGGTGGGACAATGCATAACAAGCTCCTTTTACTATAACTTTTTCTTATATCTCTTTGGTGGATTCTTTAGAGCGGCAAACTTTTCTATTTGAGTTCTCTCTTGCATCTCTCTCCTCAACCCCATTGTGTGAGATTTTTCTAGAATCAAGTTGGTATTAGAGCTTCATTTGTTCCTTTGGATTTTAACACTCTTAGTTTACTCCAATGGTTCATGGACATGGTTGTGGTGACATGCTGATCCTCCAAAAAAACAAGACCTCAATGATGTCAAAATGTATGAATTGAGGAGGCAAGTACAACAACTACAAGAACATCTAGAGCACTTTGAAGCTTTGACTCGTGATGAGTCACATTATGATTCAAAGGATGAATTATCTCATGAGGATGGAGAAGAGATTGACTTCTTCTACCATGAAATGGTGATTGGAGAGTCTTTTCCCTATCATCACGCTTGAAGGAACAATGGCTTCCAATAAGATTTTAACTTCAAATTGGCATTTCCAAAGTTTGAAGGTAAAACCAAACCAGATGAGTTTGTTGATTGGCTTCATACTATTTTTTGGTAATAAGTAAAACTAAAATTTATTGATAGAAAAAGAAAGTACATTTGATGGTGATGAGAGATCACTAGATATACAATGCAAAACAAAAATAGGCACTCTAAGGAGAAAGATAAAATACAGAAAGCAAGAGTATATACAAATTTTAAGCCAACTCAAGATTGTTCCAAAATCCTGCACCAAGATCTTCTTTTGTAACCCCTTCAAACTCTAGGAGAATGAGATCACAATCCATGATCCTTTTACCACAGAGTAAAGCGATATGGTCCATTGATCTAGCTTCCTCTTCAAAGATTATCCTATTCCTTTATTTCCAAACTTCCCAACAAACAACAAAAGGAATGCAGCTCCAAGCAATCTTTGCCTTGACATTTCCCCTCACACTTGGCCACCTAGAAAAAAACTCCTCATCCGAACAAGGATCCATCTAGCAAGTCTTTCAGAAATGAAAGAAGAAGTCCCAGATGAACTTAGAGTAAGGGCATTCAATAAACAAATGTTTGACATTCCCCTCTGCATTCTCACATAAATAGCTCTGCTAGCCAAGTGAAAACCTCTATTTTGAAGATGATTTAATGTCAAGATGCTATCTAACACCACTAGCCATTCAAAAGCTTCCACCCTTGGAGGAAAAGGGTTCCCATAAGTCCTTGATATAGCCTGATAGAAAATTTGACTAAGAACGGGCCATTTCAAGATTCTTTCCACCACCTTGAATCCTTCATTTCCACCTGTATTTCAGCTAATTGGAGTTTTGCAAGTAGATCCATACACTCTTGAATTTACCAATCAAAATTCTCTACAACATAACTATTATTCATACCCAACCTATGCAACCATAGGCAAATTTTGAAAGACACTAAGTTGACGAAAGCCAATTGGAAACACAATTTTCCAATACCTAACTATTCATCTTCCCAAAATTTGATTATTAAACCATCTCCAAATTTGAAAGACACTAAGTTGAGGAAATCCCATTGGAAATACACAATTTCCTTACAAACACTCACTCCATAAGAGGTCTTCGCTTCTATGGAATTCCACCCAAACCCAATCAGCCCATATTTGCAAGGCACCAATGATGAGGCCAAAAAAAAAAAAGAAGGAAAAGAGTAAAAAAGGAAAAAAAAACAGAAGAAAAATATGAATGTACTCTGTATTTGTATTTTTTTTTTTGTAGTAGGATCCCAATTTGTTGTTTTTGAGTAGCCTTATTGGAAGTTTGCATTCAGGGGTATTTTGTCATTTTATAATTCAGATTATGGTCAAGGTCAGATGGGTGTTGGGTTTTGGTCTCTTGGGTCATTTTGTAACAAAAGATATCTTTTGGGGTTCATTTGAAGTTGGTTTTGTTCTTAAGGAGTTGCTTGTGAGAGGTAAACATTATAGGGGCTTATGTGTAAATATTTTAATTGGATTCTCCAACAAGCAATTGGGTCTTGTAAAGGAGAAGGGAGTTATTTCTGTAGGGGTCTTTTTTGTTTCTTTCTCTCTTGTTTGAGCTGTAATTCAGCTCCAACTAGGGTCTTAAAGTATTGGAAGCTTGGATTTTGAGGATTCGACCCACTTTGGCACCTTCCAATCCCTCTGTCACTGCATGTCCGTGTGGGAGGCCAGATTGATGTCATGGTTATTATAGCAAAACTATTCCAGGAGGAGTTTTACTTCAAGTTTAGGTCTGAAATCCCTAAAAATATAACTTGTTTTGTTGTTTTCATTTTGGTATTTCTTGTGCTTATTTCTATACACTTGAAGTGATGCATGTAATTTATTTTTTTCTGTCCATATCAGTCACCCTCCTCATAAGAGCCTCCCTCTCCAATCCAAATCTCTACAGCCATTTTCCTAGAAGAGCTTTACTGAAATGCTTCAAATTTTTTGATTCCCAAACCTCCGTCTTTATTTTACTTGTAGACCATATCCCAATTTACTAAGTGAAATTTCTTTTCAAACCCTTTGACTCACCATAAGAACTCCTTTTGTATTTTTTCAATTGAGTTTAAGACTACAATGATAGTCTTGTGTGGCCATTTTCATCAACAATATTTGTTGAGGAAGAATATGTTAATTGGGATAGTCCTCCCATCTTTGACGAAAAAGATATTGAAGAAGAGACCAAGGAAGATCTAAGGAGTTGGAAAAAGAAAAATAAGTTATCTATGCTGATCTAAGGAGTTGGTTTCAACAGAATATCTTCCACACAAGATGCACTTCTGATGGAAAGTTGTATGATCTTTTATTGAAAGTTGTACAAATATAGTGGCTACATCTATGATTGAGAAGTTGAATCCAAAGAAAGATAAGCACCTACAGCCTTACAAGCTCTCAGGGCTTCATAAAGGAAATGAGGTTTATAAGCATCCTTATTTGCAAGAATTTTCACTAGGGTTTAGGATGGCTATTTAAAGAACAATAGGATTATTTCAAAAGAAATATGTTTTGACAATGCATATTGGAGGTTTATCAAAAGGATAGTAACAAAGAAGCATAGTGGAAGCATGGTGGTAAGTAAGGGTGTTTGACACCAGAATGTCCACATGCACAAAAAAGGACTTATGTAGGCTTAAATTTCTATACAGGGTTTTTTCTGAAAAATGTGTAGCGATAGATGTAGGGGCTATTTTGTGGTCATTTTGCAGCTCAACCTTGGTGGGAAAGCTATATGTCTCTAGAACACTCTGAATCTACTTTTTCCTTTTTATGAATAGCACTCTGAATCTACTTTGCAACAGAACAAATGGAGCAGGATTTGGAGTTTTCTATGCAAGTTTATGGGCATTTTTCTTGAGGGGTGTAGTGCTGACTGCAGGATTCCAAAAATACATTATTTCCAAGTCTTTTGAGTTTCTTCATGTCTTTTCTACTTTCTAAATCTCACTTCTCTAGAATAGTTCATGAATCTTGTTATTGTGATTCATTGTAATTTTTTTTTTGGCAATTACTCAGCTTGAGGGTTTGTTCCAAGCAAGTCTATATAAACTTGTTAGAAGTTGAAAAAGTGGGCATCAATTAAGGTTTTACTTTTCATTACAAGGAAAATAAAAGTGGGTGACAGTTGAGATTAACAGTACATTCGATCTCTTTTGCTCATTAGCCCTATTTCTTTTGACTCTCTTGTCTCTACTTCTTCATTCTTTTCAAATCTAATTTAATTTAGAACTATTTGTCTCTTGTTTTTCTTCCTTTTTCTCTCTATTTAAGGCAGCTGATCACATGGTATCGGAGCACCAGTGATCACTTGGGCATATTTTTGGGTTCTCTCTAAATTCAACGTGAACCAGTTTCTCCTTCTACTTTGAGTAGACCCAAAAGGAGGAAAGTAGGACTGTTTTCCCTTGAAAAAGGAGGATTTCATGCCTCAGTTGGTGTTGGGTATTTTCTGTTTTTGTGGTATGCTATTATCCCTCTACTCAACAGTTCGAAGAGGACTGTATGGAGGCTAGTTTATAGTAAGTTTATTCTGTCCATCAATGGTATTCTAAGGTTGCATTCTTAGGTGGAATCTTTATGGTATATAGACATTGGTTTTATGGAGTTTTTGTGGTTGGATATTCTGTTCCACCTTCTCCCTCTAACAAAATATTAAAATTAAGAAGTGTTCTTATCACCCCCTTTTAACAACAAAGCCCTTTATATCTGCCTCCAAGTTCTTAATGAATTAACTTCTCTTACTCCATCCTTAAAACCTCCCTCACTGTTCTCCCCTCCTTTATAAGATTATTTTCCTCTTCCAACCTCTCCAATCTTGTCATCTTTGCCAATACTTGTACTAGTTGTTTAGAGCAAAAGTACTATTTTGCCCTTTTTTTTAGTTAGTAACAATGTTTTTAATGCAACCTTTAATATAGTAAATGTGGATGTATGGAGACCACACCCTATTTCATCTTGTTTGGGCTTTAGAAACTTTTTGTTGTTCATTGATGATTATGCTTTACATCAACATAATTTTTGCATAATAAATTTGAAGCCTCTTCTTACTTTAAAATTTTTGGTAATTAATAACAAAAAAAAATTCATTTATTTATAAAAAAGTACATCCATAGGGTGGCGAGAAATCACCAACACAAAAGACGAGAAAATATTACATCAAAGAAACATCAAATGCAACAAAATCAGCCCAATGAATACATCTCTAAGGATGACTAATAACCATTTCCAAGAGAATCCTTTGACACCCCCTCAAAATTTAGCAATATTAGAATCAATTCCACAAATTTTTTCCCATTGGATGATACAATCTAATCCTTGCATTTTGACTTGTCTTCAAAAATTCTTCTGTTTTTTTCCCATATTTTCGAACATATAGCAAAAGAAACACAACTGTAAACAATCATTTTTTTTTTCCTTTCAAAGTAGGCAAACAAGCAAAACTTTCTTTTGGAGATTTTAGCTCCCACATATCTAAACTAAAAACTAAAGAAATATCCCCATATGTACTTTGAGAAGAAACACTCAAAACATAGATGCATCACATTCTCCTCCTTGCCCAAACATAAGTAATACCTCCCGGTCCTCCCTGCTAATTGAATTACCCAGCTTTTTATATGATGTTGAGTAAGAATACCATCTAAAGAAACTAGTCGAGCAAAAGCCTCCACCCTGAGGTGAACAGGATTCCCCTAAGCACTCCTCACATCCGACTTCTCCTCCTAATTCCTCGCAAATGCTTTATAAAAGGACTTCACAGAGAATACATCATTCCTACTTGAATTAACACATAACAATCATAAATAGATATATTCTTCCTTTTCAAGAAAAAAAAAAAAACATCAATAGATATATTCTTCCTGCTCAATCTTATTGTCTTGGACACAAATCACAAAAACTGCCAATGCTCCACCAATCATCTTCCCAAAACCTTATACTTGCTCCATCTCCTATCATGAAAGAGACGTAGTTCAAAAATGTTGACAAAAATTATTTATTTCCATATGCATACCCCACATGATGATTTCTCCTCCTTTGAACCTCACCCTAAATCTTGCACACCTTACCCAGAATTTTCTATTGAATGGCACATGTTTTTGTATCAACAAGCAACACAAAAAAAAAGGAAGAAAGGAATTATGTACCACTTCTTTTTGATACTGATGGAAATTCCCATTGCTACGTCAGAAGAAAGATAGCTATCTGATTCAGTATATTCTAAAGACACCTTCGATACACTATTGATGATCTAGCAAAAATGATATAAATGAGTTTCCATTTATTGATCCCATCTTCCACAGATTCAATCCCCCTTTCATTGTACAAGAATATGTGGAGTTCACCATGTTTGGAAGCATGGGGAAACATTCTTCTGTTGATATTACTACCACTGTTCGAGAATGGGTCATTCATAGTATTGGCGGTAATAATGTACTCAGTTCCAGATCTAACTTGGATTCCAGTTCCATATCTAGATTGGATAAGGATACTAAGAGATAGCTACCTCTTGTAGTTTCAGATTAACATGATCTCTAGGCTGTACTCTATCTATAAATACAAGGAACTTCGGTGAACCAAATCACTGAAGTCTATTGTTCTCTCTCATTCATCTTGTTGTATTTTTTTCTAGTATTACTGCTCAAACTTGGTAACAGAGCCAATGGAGTTCGATGGGTCTCTCATTCATCTTGTTCTATGTTCAGATGACTGGATATTACAACTGATGCTAACATTTTAAACAATGATCCAGGAATCATATGTTCTTACAAGAATATAAAGCTTCGTTACTGAAAAACTTAAAGATTATAAATTTTCACACAAGGTTTTCATCTTGAGATTAGAAAAGAATAAACAGTAACTTCAAAAACATTTACCAAAAAAAAAAAAAACCAGAAACATTGTAGAGGGAAAATCAATGGGGATAAAATAAAAGATCAAGCAAGGAAGATAGAAGCAATTTGCACCACTAGCTATATTATATCATTGTTATGAATATGTCTATTAACTAGAACAAAGCAAGTGTATACACTTAATCATGCCTGAAATGATTATATGGATAAAATATCAAACCTATCTCCTTTCGTTGGGGAAATGGCAGCATCTGGTAAGTTGGTACTGCAAGAACCTCCCTTTTTGTTACATGGATGGTTAACTAAAACCTCTGAATACCTTCCACTATTCTCCAAGTCACACTTTTCAGTCAAAAATGTTTCAACACGATCGTCATGATATTGAAAACCATTATCTGAAATATTTTGTTCACAACTTGATCCACCAGTACTTAAGTCATCCTCAGATTTATCACATCCAACTCTAGACAAATGTAAATCAATAATAGTGTGGTCAGTAAGAATACTAATAACATATATAGGTGCATATAGATAGATAGATATAATTATAATCTAATATGGCTATCCAGCCATAGACAACAACAGCTGGAAGTAAGATGCATGTAACTAAAACTACACGAGTAAATAAGAGGTTAACTATCAAAATCGATGTTTCAAAAGTCAAAGGTATGAAACAATGAGCTAGGACATTCAAAGGGAATCACAAGCATCAAGCATTAAGGCTTAAGCCTTAAACTATATGTAATCTCATCCTTTCATGAAAAAGAATGAGTAAAATCATTATAAGATTATGAATATTCACATAAAAAACCTTGCATTTCTTTAAGAGAATTTTAGAAAGAAAATACAAATGAACAAAACATCATTCAAGTAAGAGAAAAACATTAGGAGCAGAAAATTTTCATCAACTTTCTACTTCATGTCTATCCATGTACTCTTAGCAAATTCTCTTCCCCAGGTCCACTGATATTGTTGCTAGCGATCAAACAAAAGCATCACTCTCAAGTTTAGTAACAAGTTAACAAGAAATTATACTTTTATTTTATTGAAGAGATTTTCCATTTAAAGGAAGCTTGTAAAGAAGCTATTCAGTCACAATAGTCATCAACGTTGGGCTAACCTTTAAACTCAAATTTTGCAACATTAATCTGGATATTTTTTTCACACCCTCCAAGAGCTCTGAAGCTGCATTTGGCATTCCTTACTTTAAGGACTTATCTCCTTTTTTCTGTTAAAATGACCTTATGAAAACTGAGTTTTTAACTGCAAAAAGGAGATAAGTCCTTAAAATAAGGAGTGCCAAATGCAACCAAAGTCTATAACCACTAGAAATAGAAAAGTGTACAAAAGAAAGAAAATACAAGAAAGGAGAAGAAGAATAAGTTTTTGAATGAATAGCTGAGTTGATTACATGACCAACTCCTCTTATTATTTATATAAGTTACAACTATGTAAAGATATAATTGTTAGATAGCGTATGCCCTTAGCTCCAATAAGCTTGATGTGCATAAACATTTATTTGTAAATGAATAAAATACATTGTTGTTTCATGTTAATATTGGTATGTTTCTGTGCATTACCCCTTAAACTGAACACTTAAGAGACTCGTATTAGTTTAGAATATTCTCAGTCATTGGATAGACTTGGAGAGTTTATCTTGACAAGGCTGACACTAGTGCACTGCTAAGGAATTGGAGTAGCTTGTCTCAACTATTAGGGTTAGACCCCAAGAACAACCAGTGGGTGTTTATTAGAAGCACTGAACCCGAACCAATTTCCAGTTATGACTTGGACCTTGCAAATAGATGGGCAAAACTGGAAAGTTACACATAACCCCAGACTTGATTATGGTACTACACTAGGTGTTGGATTGGGTTGTCTTTGATATGCCAACCAGTATGATCCATTAAGGGTCAAATACCTAGGTATGTTGGGGCTGTCTAAGAATTCACTTGAGTGGGTGATCATAGTGATAGGATTGACCCATTGTACAGACTATTACTTTAGCTAATTGAACTTCCTCTCCCATTAATGGTACTGGTAATGTTTTGCTTGGTTTTGATATTAATCTTAACTCTATTTTTTACATTTCTAAGTTTCCCTTTAGTCTCTTGTTTGTAAGTAAACTTACTAAGGCATTAAATTGTTTAGTCACCTTCTTTCCCTCATACTGTGCTTTTCAAGATCTTACAACGGGGAAGATGATTTGTGGAGGTCATGAAGATAGAGGATTGTACCATCTAGATGCCGATGGTCCACGAGAGCGCTTCATTCTTCTCTTACTCCTCACCAATGGTATTGCTGTTTGCGTCATCCTTCGCTTTGGATCTTGAAGAAATTAGTCCCTAATTTTTCGTTACTGTCTTAGTTGGACTATGAAACATATCAGCTTAGCAAGCATCATAAAGTTACTTTTGTTCCTAGGGAAGATAATAGAGTCTAAAGTCCTTTTGATCTTGTTAATTCAAATGTTTAGGGTCTCAGTTGTGTGTTGTCATCTTACAATGGATTTTGATATTTTGTAACTTTCATTGATGATCATTCAAGAATGACATTGATATATTTAATGAAAGAATGTTCAAAATGGTTCTTTATTTTCCTCTCATTCCATGCTTAAATTTGAAATCAGTTTGGTGTTTGTATTAAAGTCTTTCGTTCTGATAATGAAAATGAGTATTTTTCATAATCCCTTTCAATCTTATTTTGAAACCCATGGAATTATACATCAATCTTCTTGTTCCCACACTCCTTAGTAAAATGGTGTGGCAAAATAGAAGAATGAACATATTATTGAGATATCTCATGCCTTATTACTCCAAATGTTGTTCCTAAAACCTATTGGAGCGACACTGTTCTCATTTCATGTTTCTTGATCAATTGACACATTATTGAGATAGCTTGTGCCTTATTATTCCAAATTCCCCATTTTGTCTTCCTCCACATGATTTTGGTTCCAGTTGTTTTGTCCATCGTTTGCACCCTAGACATGATAAACTTGAAACCCAAGCAGTTTGGTGTATCTTCTAGCGCTACTCTCGCACACAAAAAGGGTACAAATGTTATGATCCTATCCTCCATAGGTCATTTTTTGTTCCTGATGTCACCTCCTTTGAGAGTCTTCCTTATTTTTATGAACGAGATTCCCTCTAATCCTCTTCCATCTGCTTTAGGTGATGTGCTATCTCTCTTCCCACCATTTAGGAGCTTGTTTGACCATCAATTCATAGTGTACATTAAATGTGCTCGAGAGCTTGCACCAATCTCTATATTGGATCAAACTCTATCTTTTGCTCCTCCACCAGGATCAGAACCATTAATGGATCCTCCATTAGATATTAATCTTCCAATTGTTATACATAAGGGAAAATATTCTTGTACTAACTATCACATCTCTCGTTATTGTTCTCTTATTCGCTTATCTATTGCTTGTTAGAAATTTATGTCTCTTTTACCTTATGTCACTATTCCTAGGTCTATTCAAGAAGCTCTTGCCTCACCTGATTGGAAAAAAGCAATGGAGGATGAATTTCAAGCTCTCTAGTCTAAACACACATGGAATCTTACCCTCTTGCCCCCAGGGAAACAAGCAGTTGGTTGTAAGTAAGTGTATAAAACCAAACACAAACAAGATGGTAGCATTGAGAGGCTCAAAGCCCAACTGGTGACAAAAAGGCTAAGCACAGACTTGTGGTGTTGATTATTCCTACACCTCTCCAGTTGTTATGTTGTCATCTATACGGGTTATTATTTCTCTTGCTACCTAGTTTAATTGGCCCGTGGTATACATGGAGCAAGCTCCTAGGTATGTTGCTTAGCGGGAGGCTGGGTTTGTTTGTAAATTTTACAAGACAATCTATGGACTCAAGTAGTCAACATGGGCATGGTTTACTAGGTTTAGTAGTGTTGCATGAGTTTCATCTCAAGCAATGTGGAGTTGATCATTCAGTCTTCAGCAAAGATACCACATTTGGGAAAATCATTTTGACAATGCATGTTGATGGCATAGTCATTACTGGTAGTGATGTTAGAGGGATAGATGATTTGAAATAGTTTTTGTAACAACACTTTCAAACCAAGGATTTAGGATCCTTGAAGTATTTTCTGGGTATTGAAGTAACCCACTCAAAGTGGAGAATCTCCTTGTCACAACGCAAGTATGTCTTGGATTTGTTGAATGAGATCAGTGTACTAGGGGCTAAACCAATTGAAAACCCTATGGATCCTAATGTGAAGATGACCAATGGTCAGGGGAGACATTCAATGATCCTAAAAGTTATAGGAGATTAGTTGGAAAATTGATTTATCTCAGCATCACTCATTCTAATATCTCCAATGTAGGGGTTCTGAGTCAGTTCATGTAGAATCACACAATCATTCACTAGGAAGGTGTTCTAAGAGTATTAAGATACTTAAAATGTGCCCCAAGATGAGGATTACTATACAAGAAAGGGAGGGAACTATCCTTAGAGGGATGTTCCAATGCAAATTGGGTGGGTTCCTCAATGGACAAAAGGTCTACTACAGGGTACTGTACCTTTTTGTATGGCAATCTCATTAGTTGGAAAAGAGCAAAGTGTAGTTGCTAGTGGTGTTAAAGTTGAATATAGAGCAATGGCCCACACCACCTATAAGTTGATATGACTAAAACATCTCCTTCAAGAGAAGAAAAAAACATTCTTATAGAGAAGCCTATCAAGTTGTTTTGTGATAATCAAGTTGCTACATATATTGCTTCCAACCCAGTTTTCCAGAAAAGGACCAAACATTCTTCCTTCTACTTTCTTCTCGCTTTCTACTATGTAAGACAGATTTCCCAACCTTTTTATTCCTCTTTCCTCCTCTTTTTCTTCTTCATTCACAGGCTTTAATAGAAACAACACAAGAAACAAGACTCTTAACAGATGTCCTAGCCTAACATGCCAAAGATAATTTTGGCAATCAACTCCTTATGATTAAAATACTATCACTTGATGCCTAAAGAGCTGAATTGATGTCATCATTGAGGTAGTAAAAGCCTCCAACTGGATGACCACTACCAATCGTTTGCCTTATTAACCTATAGTAGAAACATAATGAGTAGAGAAAAAGGTTCATTGTAGTATTACAATTCAATTTTTTTAATCATAAAGACAGATAACAAATTAATGGTAAAATTAGGAACATGTCAAACATATTTAAGAAAGAAATCCCTATTTAGGTATATATCTCCCTTCCCAAAGATGGTGGAGATCGGTGTTTTAAAAGTCATGGGAAGCATAAGCCCTGCCTCGTGCGCTTTTTCATGAGGCGTGCTAGAGGCGTATGCCTCATGCACTTTTTTCATGAGGCGTGCTAGAGGCATATGCCTCATGCATGCCTCATGCACGCCTCATGTAAAAAGATAGAAGAAAAGAAAAAGAAAGAAAGAAAGAAAGTGGGTCAGGGGCTAAATGTAGTACCACAATTTGAGGTTAAAACACCAGTTCCCAAATAGATTTTTAACCATCAGGTCATAAACAACTATCTGGTGCAAACGTAGTAGTATCTAAAGCAATGTTTTAAAACACGGAGGTGTGATGCGAGGTGTTCCACTACCTAGAGGTGTAAGGCATAGTTCAACTCGTAAGAGGCCTCCATAAGAGGAGGGGGGATAAGGAGGCGTAAGCCTCCTCAAGAGGCATAACCCTGGCCCGCTTTCTTTTCCCCTTGCATTTCGTTTCCTTTCCTTTTTTTTCTTGTTTTCTTTCTTTTTATTTTTTATTTTTGTCCTTTTACATTAGGTGTGCATGAGGCGCATGATGTGTACACCTCTAGAAAACCTCAAGAAAAAAACGTATGAGGTGTATGCCTCTTGCACCAGAGGCGTATGCCTCAGAGGTGTCAGTGCCTCTAGCATACGCCTCAAGGCATTTTGGGGGCACCTTGCCTAAAAGTGCGCTTCTAGGCATACGCCTGCCATGCCTTTTAAAATACTGATCTGAATAGTGATGGGAATACAACACCACAATCCCAAACATCTCCTAGGTTAGCTTGCCAAGAAAGTATCTAATAAAGCCAATAGGAATACAAAGTGTAGGTATATATTGTCTGCTCAGACCCTCAAAGAACATTAAACACTAAATTAACACCACGGGGTTGCATGCGAACAACCCACAGTCAACTTCCCCACTGCATTGAACTTGCAACGCATCACAGGTTCTACGATGAACTCACAGAGCACATCGCAGAACTGCGATAAACCCGTGGTTTGTTGCACGCCTACGATCGCATTCGCGACTCGAGCCAATAGAAACCCGAGCTGAGCCCTTTGCAAGAGGCCCACATGTGCCCAAATCTGCAATAAACCCATAGCCCATCAAAAGACATGGTGGAGCGCCACATAGGGTTAACGGGACACAACCCGCTGGGCAATGACGTCACTAAATGCCACACCAATTAAATAAAGTGCATGAGAGGTAGTATCACATGTGAGTAATGAGGGATATTGAGGGGAAGAAAGCCGATCCTCAAGAAAATCCTCATGAGACACATGGCAAAACCCCAGTGGCGCACTTAATGATTAACAACAAATCCAATATTCCCTTTCCCAATAGGAGACAAGCACCTTTATCTCCTACTTTTTAGGATCTCGGGATCTCCCCCATAAATAGAAATCCTCATTGTATTGAAATTCATTCGGTACTCAACATTCAGCATCCAACACTCGAGCATTCCTTCACTCCGATCCCTTACCCTAGCATCCTTGCCCCGAAAGCCGATCTTCCCACTTCTTGGCCTTTCTCTGTCTTTCAAAGAGACCGTTCTCCATCTAAGCCTTACCCTACCTACACAAAGCATAGTCAAATGAAATTATATCATGTGTCAATCTAGTTCAATAGGCACATAATTTTGCATTACCTTGAAGCTTAATCATTGCATGCCACTCAAGGAGTTGGTCTTAACATAAACAGCAAACAAGAAAAACAACTAAACTATATAACAAATAGTATAGTCACATACTATTGCATCTTTAGTCATCTATAGAAAATCATTTAAGTGGACCTATACAATGGATAATGGATTCTAATTAAATCGCATGATATCATAATAGCATTAGAGGAAAGAACTATAAAATCATGCATCTTAGAAATCATACTTGATATCGTTGATAGTTAGGTCAGATAATGGAAGTGAAATTAGTTGTTTCTCCATTGCTTCATTTTCTTCCTGCAAATTCCCATGTCATTACAAAACCTCAGAATCCAAATAATATCAGCCAAAAAGACTAACAAGGATTGACACTTACCATATATCCAAAATCATTCAAAAATTGGCTCATAATAGAGGACTGGCTTTGGGATTGCATTTCCTGCATATCAGGCCCAAAAGGGGAACTCGAGCTCCCCCGTTCTTTTTCAGCAATGGTATCCTCACTATCTTGAATCTGTTAAAATATAAAATAAGAATCTATCTATCAAGACAAAAAGTTATAAAATAATACAAATTTCAATAGGCTTAGTAGAAGAAAAAAAGGATTATGCTTATACCAGTGAAGCTTGTGCCTTCATGTCTTCAATATTGAAGTTCCAACTACTAATCCCTCGTTTGTATTCTATCTGAACATAGTTTCAACCAAAGCATGAAAAACTAGATGTTGCTATAAAACACACACTTGGATAGTACAAAGATGAAAACCAAGCATATGAATGAATGAAAAACTTTCATAAAAGGGGGCTTCTCCCTTGTCCAAAGTTCGAGTTTTCCAATGTGCTTTCAATACATAGTAAGAGAGATGGGGTGAAAACGTATGCCTAATCAAACTTAAATTAAGGAAAAAAATAGAACAAGTATGATGGCTAGGCCGGTGTATATTCAATCTTGAATCTGATTTACATACACTTGACTGAATTCAATTAATAGTCTACTATACCCAAACTACAACCTATATATGTCAGAACTCAATTTTTAAAATAATCTATTAAGAATTTGAATATTCATATTCAATTGGACTAGCTAATTTACCTAAGGATTGCATTCTGATTTCTATCATAATGAAATGACTACAAAAATATGAAACTTTAAGGAAGTTTACCTAAATCACTACTAATAAACAAGAAAACATGACAAAAAGGAAAAAACACTTAGACTATTATTTATAACTTGTAAATAAAAATATCAGACAAGTGTAAAAAAAACAAAGAATAAGATAGAAAAAACAATATTTATATCAAAGAACTTAAAATAGATCAACTAAGAATTTTAAAAAATGTCTAGTAAGAAAAAAGAGAGAGGGTCTCTCACTGCTCCACCACACTCCATTCTCTCAATCATGTAGAGAAAAAAGATCTTCACAAAACAAAGTACCATAGAATTTTATATTCTATTGTACCAAATATGAATTTAATTTCTTTATATTTGCCTTTTTTTCTCTTGTTTTTCTATTCAATCCCTTACAAGGACTTCTCCTAACTTTCAACTACAGGACAAAACTATCTGCTTTTCTTCCATGGCAGTGATGGCACACCATCTCTTGATCAATTACAAGACAAACCTTCTCAAGACCTCCTAACTTTCCCTCAACCAACCCGGAAGAGCCTTAACATTTTCTCACACATTTTCTATTATAAACTTTAAAACTTTTGCAAGAACCATGACACCAAGGCCCAGAGAAAATTCTCGTGATAGGAACCATATGATTAGTTTTATGACAACTCCTGAATCTCTTCACTACATTCAACTCCTTTTTATAGTGTTTAAACCATCATACTCTAAAGACAATCTACTAATGACTTAGGCATACCTATTGCACAAAGGAAGGGAGTTGGGTCTTGTACCACTAAGCCTCATATCCCTTATTTTGTCTCCCATGACAACATCTCATCCTCCTTTTGTTCTTTCCTTTCTTCCATTGACAATGTACCTATCCCTAAAAATGTGGCAAAATCGCTATCAATACCTAAAAGGACAATTTCAATGAAAGAAGATATCAACACCTTACAAAAAAATGGTACATGGGAGTTAGTGGATCTTCCTAAAGGTAAGGAACCGGTAGGGCGTAAGTGGGTCTTCATAATGAAGCACAGGGATGATGGCACAATAAAAAGGTACAAGGCCCGGTTGGTGGCAAAAGGGTTTACTCAGGTGTATGGAGTAGATTATGCAAACATTTGCTCCATTTTCTAAGATGAATTCCATCAGAGTTCTTTTCTCACTTGCTACTAATCTTGATTTGGATATTCATCAATTAGATATTAAAACTTCCTTCTTGAACGATCTTGAAGAGGTGTACGTGGTACAACCCCTTAGCTTTTGTGCCCAAGGCAAAGAACAAAAAATATAAAGGTTAAAGAAGTCCTTGTATGGAATAAAGCAATCACCAAGAGCTTGGTTCAACAAGTTTCATCTAGTTGGTACAGCAGATTGGTTACAAATGGTGCCAAATTGATTATACATTATTTGTGAAAAGAGAAATAAAGATTGCAACCCTAATAATGTATGTTGATGAAATATTGATGACAAGTGATTGGAAAATTTAAATTTAGAAGCTAAAGGTGTTCCTAGCCACTCAATTTGAGGTGAAGGATATAGGTCCCTAGAGGTATTTCCTTGGAATTAAAGTGGCCCGTTTACAAAAGAGGATATTTTCTCAAAGAGAATACATCCAAGATTTGTTATAGGATATAGGAAAACTAGGGATTAAGCTAGTTGATTCTCCCATTGATCCAAACAACAAACTAGGTGATTGTCGTGGTGAACCTATCAAGGATGTAAAGCAATTTCAGAGACTTGTGAGAAGGCTCTTATATTTGTCCATGATCTAGCCAAACATTGCTTATGCTATGGGTGTTCTTAGTCAATTAATGCATGCCCCTAAGACCACACACTTAGAGGTAGCCGAGAGAATCCTTAAGTATCTAAAGAAGTTTCCAAGAGCTGGTTTACTATTGCAGAAGAGCGGGCATTTGAAGGTTGAAGTGTATATAGATGTTGACTGGACTAGATCAATTGATGACAGAAAGTCCACTAGTGGATATTGTACCTTTGTGGGAGGAAAACTAATCACATGGCAGAGCAAGAAACAAAATGTTGTGGCTAGGTCTAGTGCTTAAGCTGAGTATAGAGCAATGTCCCATAGAGTGGCTGAAGTTATATGGATAGAGAATCTACTGAGTGAGCTGGGTTTTCTAGTTGACATCCCCATGTCCTTGTATTGTGATAATAAGGCTGTCATCAACATTGCATCCAGTCTAGTTCTTCATGATAGAACTAAACATATTGAGGTCGACAAACACTTTATCAGGGGGGAAATTGTTAATGGGGAAGTGTGTACTCCATATGTTAGTTCCAATGAGCAACTTGAAGACATTTTTACAAAGGGCTTACATTATTGTGGCAATGAATTATGTGGCAAATTGGGCAAGATTAACATCTATGTCCCAACTTGCAGAAAGCCCACTAGTGGGTATTGTACCTTTGTGGGAGGAAACCTAGTCACACGATAGAACTAAACATATTGAGGTCAACAAACACTTTATCATGGAGAAATTTGTCAATGGGGAAGTGTGTACCCCATATGTTAGTTCTAAGGAGCAACTTGCAGACATTTTTACAAAGGGCTTACATTATTTGTGGAAATGACTTATGTGGCAAGTTGGGCATGATTAACATCTATGTCCCAACTTGAAAGGGATTAAACTTATTAGTTTTCTCTATTCTTTAGGGGACATTCTTTTTCTGGATTTTGAGAGGGGGGAATGTTGGTCAATGGGATCTTGATTCCCATTGACCAAAAATCTCATCTTCTTTTTTTAGATTTATGTGGGGATTAGGGAAAGTTTATTTTCCTAAGTGATACCCATCTCCTAGGTGGGTAAATAACTTTCCCACCTTGGGGGAAAATTGCCAACACTTGAATGGGACAAAAATGCCCCTTGTAATAATGGTTTTTTATGGCTAAAATGGTCATTGTCTTGTTTGCATGGGAAATAAAAGAACATGGGTAAGTAACTTACCAAAAAGCGAATGGGGCCTTAGTGTTGTAGGGGCACATCTGTATTTTTGTTTCTTTTTATTATTGTTTTGTGTTACTCTAATATAAATACAAAAGTTGGTGCCACCAGCCTAAGTTTTTCTAAATCCAAAATTCTTTCTCCTCTCTTCTCTCTTTTCTCTTCTCTCTCCTCTCTTCTCTCTCCTCTCCTCTCTCTTCTCTTCTCTCTTCTCTGATTTTCTAACGAATTTTCACCAAGAAAACACCATCCTTATTTGGTGTCAAAAGGGCTGGAACTACACAAGGACTAAGACTTTCTCGAATGAAACCTTTAGACAACAACTCTTCAACTTACCTTTTAAGTTCACCATGTTCTATTGGGTTCATGCAATATGTAGGCAAGTTGGGAAGTTGGGAGCCTGGAAAAAAATCAATAGCATGCTGTTGCACATTGGTGGCAATTCATTAGGAAGTTCTTTTGATTTCATATCTGAAAAATATAACAACAACTTGTGTACTTCTAGAGGTGCATCTACTAGTGGTATAGGTGTTGTTTTCTGCACTTCTTTGGCTACTACATCATAGATGACCCCTATCTCTTTGCTCTCTACCTCAAACTCCTTGACTTGATCTTCCAATGCATCAACCCTTTCCAGGATCATGTAAATGAAATCACCCCACTCCCAATCATGCCACATCTGAAAACCCTTTCCAGGATCATGCCACATCAGAAAAATCTTCCAATGCATCAACCTTGTTTCCAAACATAACCCCCCATGCAAAATTACAAAAATACCCTTACTATCCAAAAATGTAAGAAAACCAAATAAGTCATGTACAACAGCAAACTCAACCGCACAAAGAGCATCTTAAGGTGGATTGAAGACTCTAGGATCTTCCCAAGTTGATCTCTAGCTAACCCAGCTCCCATGTAGGCCCCATGTCTTCGCAATGATGCCAAATGAGCATAGGAGCATGAGCAGCTTTGGATCCCTTTTGATATGCCTTAAGTTGATCCTCATCACTCCCAATCACCTTGCAAGACTTTAGGTCCTAAAATATACAATAATGAAAGAAGGTTATAAAGAAATTCAAGGATTTGGTCAAGCTACTAACTGAAAGAAAAAAAAAAAAAAAAAAGATTAGTGTTAAGCTTGGGAACATGAAAGACAAAGGATAGGGTAAGGGAGTTAGAGGTTTTGATGTCTTTGTTGTTAAAGATTGGAACAAAGGAGCTATTAGCAAGGATTATCTTATAATGAACAAAAAAGTAATTAGAAAGTAATAAAGAGATTATAAATTTTGGTCATATGATCAGTGATCCAAGGGATCCTACAAGTACCTGAAACAATCACATGATTGGTAGAGGAATGAATACTTGAGTGTACAAAAGTAGCAGACGATGCATTGCCCAAAGAGTTATGGATGCCACAACTATGTTCTCTAGATGATTTATGTCTTCCATACTCCTCAAAATTTTCCTTCACTGTTACAAGTTTCTCTACAATAGACTTATCATCACTGGACCCCTTATCACATCACCTTTTGGAATTGTAACAACATTGGTGACCCCACTCTTCCCATTCCTATCTTCTTGTTACTAGTATTCCTAAACCATGCTGGTAAGAGATGTGGGTACAACTTTCACTAGGTGTCCGTTGTGTGCTTAGGCTTACTACAATACTCACAAACAATATCCTTCTCTTTGGCAGCCTTAGGTTTCACCCCAACCAGTGCAAAATGGTTTATAGGTGCTCCTTGGACCTTCACTTTCCTCCTACTCAGTGTTTTAAAAGCGCAAGGTGCAAAAAAGGCACAAGGGCCAATTTGTGCCTAAAGCGCAAGGCGAGGCATGCGCCTTCTTGAAGAAAGGTGCAAAATTATGAAAAAAACTAAAAAATAAACATAATGTTAATAAAAAATATAAACTTGAGTTTTAAAATAAATGTTTTAAAAAACCTATTATCTAAAATTAAAACACATAAGCATAACATGTAAAGTGTATTTAAATGAAAATTTAAAAATAAAAGCAAACATATAAAGCATTTTAAAGCATAGAAAACCCACAATCTCTTTTTTTCCTTAATTGCATTATGTGAAGTAGCTAATGTGATGTAAAATATGTTGTGTTCTTGATTTTATGGGTCGACTTTGTACCATGCCTCTCGATGCAAGCCCGAACAAGTCCATGTAAGGGTCATAAATTCTTATTTCTTAGGTAAAAAAAAGAATGATTTTATAACTTTAATTGCCTTTTAAAAAGATATTTTATTGGAATGAATGAATGAACACTATTAGAAAATAGGGGGTGGGTGGGCTTGCCTCAAGGGGCATGGGCAGGGGTCCGAGGGCAAAGCCCCCAACCTAGCCGTTAGGCCTAAAAAAAGCAAAAAGCATAGAACTTTAAAAAGGCGCACACCTGGGCAGAGGTGCAAGGCACACGCCTAGGCACACCAAGCATGCGCTTTTTGAAAGGGGTGCACCTAGGACCTAGGCGAGGCACATACCATAAAATGTGCCTCACTTATGTGTCTAGGCGTGCCTTTTAAATCACTACTCCTACTCTCCTCACAACTAACTATAGCATATGCCTGAGATAAACTATCATAATTTGCCAAAATATTCTACCTAGTGATGTCATATTTAGGGTTGACCCCAAATATTAACTCAAATACCCTATTTCTTTCCACCAATTTTCTATAGGCCTTAGCATCCTCAGTGCTTTCCCACACAATTGTTTCCATAAAGTCAATTTCTTGTTAAAGAGACTTCAACATAGAGCAATACATGGCAAGAGGCTTCTCACCCTGTCTTAGGTTGTTCACATCATTCTTTAATTGGTACGCCCTAGCCACATTCAACTTCTAAGAGTATGTCTTTGCTACACTATACCATATCTCCTTTGTTGAATCCATCCACAAGTAATGTTGGACTGATGCGAGGTTGCATAGAATTCACTATGGGTGCAACTTGGGCAGGCCCAACTCAAGCCCGAACCAACCCAACCTACAATTATACACAGATTGGACTTGGATTCTAGTCCTCAAGTTGGCTTTGGGCCCAAAATCTCAAGTTTTTTAATTCTTCGGGATGGGCTTGGGCCTAGCCCAATCTTATGTAGAGATAATGAAGGATAGAGGGGTACTTTTTCTTTTAACACTTTGTACATTAGAATCCATTTTCTTATACTTCTGTACACTATATACACTATTTGTACTTTGAGGACAAAATGGTCCTTTCATCATATAATATAAATACTTTTCTTTGGGTGTCGACTGTCACTTTTGACACACCCAATACTTGTTATTTTCTTTTTATCTTTGTCTCTAGATCTAACTTTGACACCTTATCCCAACTCGAGCCCAACCCAACTATATACATGTATATATGCATATACAAACACATATATGCATGCATATATGCATAATTTTTTTAATAAATCGTACATATATGAGTACATGCATGCATATACATATACATGTATATCAACTTTTAGTGTAGCATGATTGACTAACTCAAGCCCAGCTCAGGCCTAGGCCCAACTTGAATGCATCAAATTTTAGTGCGGGCTAGGCCGGGGTTGGGTAATTCGGGCTTGACCTCAAGCTTGGGCTGGGCTTGGGCTTTAGGCCCAATTTTAGAGTTGAGCCTTGGTGGAGCTAAAACCCAGCCCCACCTGCCCAACTTGTAAACCTAGAATTCACCAACCAACCTATTACTTTGTAATTTTTCTACATCTATTGTTCACAAGTGGGCTCAATCTCCTTTGGCTTCTTCTTACCACTAACATATACCCCACTTTCCTCTACTGCAAACATGGATTCTCACTTATTGTGACTAAGATAAATAATTGGTCCCACAATATTTACAATGGTCACAACATTCAATAAAGAGCCTACAAACCAATGCAATTTTAAAGGTTTGAAAATAAGAAAATTAATGCCAAAACTACCAAAATGATCTTTTTATTCAAAATACTACCACCATTTACATTTTAGGTATGAAAACTCAAACCTGGGATATTTCTTCCTTTTCCCCATCTGGCATTTTCTTTTGTGCAAGCATATCTGCTTCCTTTAACTATTTCACCATGACACCAGTTGTGAGTGCAAATCATAGAAAATGTAGAAAGAGTGCATGCCTACAAAATCATGCACCAAAATAATAATACCCTAACCTTCAATGCTTTAAGGCGATCACCAAGTGTAGGCAACCCATCTAAAATTGTTCGGGCAATGTAATCATTGGACCTAGCTTGCTTGAAAAATGGATGCTTTAACAACTTCTTTGCAGGAGGTCGTTTAGAAGGATCTTTTACCAAGCAACTAGCAATCATTTGCTTAAAAGACTAACAACATTGAATAGGGAAAAAAGAACTTAGTGAAAAGACAAAATTACTTTTAACGAGTAAATAAACTACTTCAAAGTTTTCTATGTTGATAATACCCTTGAGAACTTCTTGTCCCTCTCATAATCCAAACCTGGTGGTGCATTTTGCAAGGTCATAAGCAAAACCTACCAAATAGAATTCTTTAGATTACAAAAAAAATGCATATGTGTTCAATATTTGATATTGGTAATAGAATAGAAGAAGGTATTTGATCTATGTACCTTCATTGGAGGATATTTCGAAAATGGAGCATGACCATGGGCAAGCTCCAAGGCAGTTATACCAAAAGACCAAATATCTGCCCTGCAATCAATTATTCAATAAACATTGGTACCATGTTATCTTTTTTATACTCAAAATAAGAACATTGAGAAAATGAAATAGACGAACTTGAAGTCATAACCGTGTAATTGCTCCATAACTTCAGGCGCCATCCTACAGAAAGAATATAAAGCCTTTCTTATTGAAGAATGCAAAAAATGAAAATACTTAACTAATAATTACACGTAAAACACGCAAGAATCCAAAGTTGAAAAGAATACCAGCACGGAGTTCCCACAAAAGTATTTCTTGTGCGTTGCCTATCACCTGAATCAAAAAGGCATGCAGAAACACCAAAATCTCCAAGCTTGATGGCACCACGTGCATCAACTAGAATGTTTCCCGCCTTCAGGAATAAAGAAAAATGCAACTTAGATTTGCATTAAAATGTAAAGAAGAAAAGGATGAATTGTCAACGAGAATAAATATACTAATCCAATTTTAGTGTTTTATAACATGGGCTGAAAAATGAGATGGGTTGAGGAGGTAAGGGAAGACCTGAAGATGGGATACCTCACCACATTTGGTCTTATTTTGGAGGTCCTAACTAGTTCAATTGGTAAACTTTGGGGGAGTTTAATTCTAAGCCTAGGATTGAATCCTGCCACCATCACTACCAACTACAAACCAATAAATCACCTAGCTATCCTATCCAAGAAAATGCAACACATAAAAAAAATTCATGTGCTTAAATATGGTCCTAGATAAAGTGAAAAAACATAATTGGACTTGTGAAATCAAGCCTTGGGGCTGGAATAAGCTTGGTTGTCAATTATATAGTTGTTGGATTTTTGCTATATTTCTATGTATGCATTTGTGTATGCACATATCTATGCATATACTTCTGCAAATATATACATATATGTTTGTGCGTTGAGTAGTACGTAAGAAAAAGAAGGATGGAGAAAGGCTATGGTTGTTGCTTCAACAATCATTTAGAAGAAAATGTTAAAGTTAAGGACAACCAAAATGTTTCTTAATCACAAAAAAAAAAAAAAACTAAATTTCAGGCTAGTACTCAAAAGTTGCACTTGATTTTGATTGGATCACCGGTTGGATTCAAAGTGTTACTTCAAAAAAATAGGAAATAGTTCCATGACAAACTACACCTCTTATGTTTTTGTCTCAGGTTCTTTCTTTCCCAAAAATTAACTAAAGTATACAATTATGTATTGAAATGTGCTTAACATGATAGAACATACAAACCTAAACAAAAGAACAAAAGGATCACATATTTCCACCACCTGAAAAATCATAATAACATAGAGTTGTTAAAGAAATATCCTTTTCATCCCATGACCAATCAACCTAAGACATCAGTAATTAATTCATCTCTTATGGAAGCCATCTACTTTGAATCAGGGTAAAAGTTAGGACTTCCTTCATCACTAATAATATAGTGATATCCAAGAACCTCATCCTAGTAACATTTTGAAGCAAATCCTTAAAGGTTTCACCTAAACCATTCTAGTATCTAATGATCACAATGTCGTGAAGATAATCATTGAGAAAGGTACTTAGAAGAAAGCTTCATTTTGAGCATGCACAAAAACCTTTTAGAACTATTTGGATTCACAACCTTGAATTTCTTTTTGAGAGTTATTTGATAAGCTTTATGAGATCCCTAGGAGCTTGATATAAATATCAGTTGGTATAGTCGTAAAAAGTTGAAAAAAAAAACAAAATGAAAAAAAAAAAAGATATTAAATGGATTGTGTACCAATGAGTTCCTTAACATATGTAAGGTAGAAAGTCACCTTTACATCTCTATGAATGTGACCATACTGATGAAGATACTCCAAACCCTTTAATACTTCACGCAAAATTGTTGCTATAACAACCTCTTGAAACCCATCCGGATAAGCAGCCTTCAGTATATGAAGAAAAGACCCACCAGCCATAAATGGCATGATGACCCACAAATTATGACCATCAACAAAGGAGCAGTGTGCGTTAAGAACATTAGGATGGTCAACCAAGGTCATAATTTGTGCCTCACGAGAAATGTTCATCTGCAAGTAAGACAAATTCATTGTCAAATGAAAATATCTAAATGCAGAGATCAAGAATAATGAATGTACAAAGATTCCAAACAGTTTACAGTTAAGAAAAAACTTTCTTATGTCAATCAAGAAACGAAACACAAGTGGATAATATAGTAAATAAATTGTTGACTTACCAGATCGCAATTACCTTTCTCGAAATCAAGTATTTTAATAGCAATGACCTCATTGAAAGGGATGCATATAGCACGATAAACAGCTGCACTTACACCTTTTCCTATGTCTTCATACAGCTCATAATACTCAGATCCGATTGGATACTTCTTCTTCTCCATAACTACACCACCTTCTTCTCTTCTTCCACCTCACAGAATCTCAATAATGAATCTTAGCTTCAGGAACCAGATGCAGTTTCCAGAAGCTCCGAAAACTGATCTTCTAATCAGCATTCCATTAGAATCCCTCTAACAACAATGCACCCCAATCATAACCAACACACCATAATTGACCAAATAAACATTACATAGAAACAAATCAATTTTTCTAGGAAAAAAAAAAGAAAAACCTACTAGTATCAATCCAAAAAATATAAAAAAAATCACAGAGAAATAAACCAATCGATCAGAGGAGTGAATCAGAAACAAAAGGAACGAGAAAAGAAAAGAAATCAGAGTAGATAGGAAGAATAAAATCTAATAATGCGACTTGATGATGGTGAGAACAATCCTTAGACCATGTTGTCTTCCGCTTTCTCATGAGGGAGAGAGACAAAGCGAAATTTGAGGATCAGCAATCCAAGGAAGAGCATTTGAATGTGAGAGTCAGTTGAACAAAGCCTTTTTCGGCTATTCATTTTCCTCCTAACTAACTGACATGCGACTTTGACTTCTCTTTTGGTTGAATTGAATAAATAATTAGTAAATACTAATAATAGTGCTATTATTATTGTAAAATTATTTATATTATTGCAATTATATTATAATATTACTAATTGATATATATGTATATATATATACATGATATTATAATATCATGTATTAACAATTATCACTATTATTATTAATAATATTATAAATAGTTACAATACTATTATTACATAATCTATTGTTACTATTAATACTATTACTAGTAAATACTAATAATATCATTGTAAATAATAGCACATGAATTATTAATTAACAATAATGTGCTATCATAACAACAATACTACTACAAATAATAATAATAATAATTATTATTATGATAACATTACTATTGTAATAATAATACACCATTGTTAACAATAACAATATTATTAATATTAGCATGTTAATAATATTATTATTATAATAACGTGATATTATTGTTAATAATTAGCAATATACATGTGCTAATATTAATAACAATATATTAACATGATAATAATAATATTGGATTGTTAATATTGTTTAATATAATAATCACATTATAATATTGCTAACAATGGTGTATTATCGTAAAGTTAATACATAATACACATAATTAAAGTAATATTAACGTTAACAATATTAATAACAATTGTTGTTAATAATATTATCACACTAATAATTAATAACAATAATCACATTAGTGATATATTGTTATATTAACGTTAACAATATTATTATTGTTATTATTAATGTGTTAATATCATATAATAACACTAATAATATTACCACATTAATAATAACGTGATTATTATCGTGATTATATGATATTATCACATTAATAATAACAATAATATTATTTTTTATATTATTAATAATATATATAATATTAATATAATTCATAATATATATTCTTAATAATATATATGATATTATTATTGTTAACAATATAATTAATATTGTTAACATTAATAACAATAATATATAATAATATAATTTTAATATAATATGCTAATAATAACAATGTTATTAACAATAATATATTATTAATATTATTGTTAATTAGTACTTATTATAATAGTAAATATTTACTATTACTGGCACCATTGTTGAAGCTTTTTCTTATACCTTAATAAGGTTTATAAATAAGCCTCGACACGAGCTAACTAGGACTAGGTCATTGTTCAGGAGTATAAGAAGATAATAGCAATTACTATTAAGTAGGTTTAATATATCGATTACTCTTAAGTGTACTATTTTCCACACAACCTTTCAATTATTATTTTCCTTTTTTAATTTTAACCTTTTTCTTATTTGGGTTTGCAGTGGTTATTGTTCATGCTCTTGCTTCCAATCACGGATGAATACATCGTAGCTCAGGCTACCATGATCAATTTCATGGGAAATGGATGCATTATTCTCCATGTATTACTTAGTCCAATTTATCTATGCATCCAGACGAATATCTTAGTTTGGGCCTGGCCAACTAGGAACTTGCACTAAATTAAAGGAATGTTTAATAAATTTTTAATGAAATGGTTAGTGAAAAAAAAAAAAGACTTTTCATGAAATTAAAGGAAGAGTAATTTTGCACAAGTCAAACAAAAGGGCTCCTTATTGTTCGGTAATTCAATTCATTAATTCCCATTCTCTAAGCACTTTAATTAGTAGCTAAAAACTCATATACATATATATATAGCACTCAAATCTGTACTCCATTAACATAAATCTGTTGTAAAAGAAAACAAGAATGTCCATTTAATTTGCAGGTCGGTATTTGGAACATCAATGTCCATTTGGAAGTGCTTCCCTACTACTTGTATTCTTATTGGGAGGATTTCTCCTTCCAAAAGGTTGGTTTAATTATTTTGATTTCATAAGTTGAACAACAATTTACTGAAACTTTCCTTAACGACTGAGTACTTTGTATTCCGGCAATGATCAAGCCATGGTGGATTTGGGTTTTCTGGTTGTCACCATTATCATATGGGCAGCGTGGAATTTCAGTTAGTAAATTTTCAGCTACAAGATGGATGGAAGTATGCTCTTTAGAACTTATACACTAGCAATTTTGTTAGATCTTAGTACTTTATATATTTGGCATATCTCCCAAGTACTTAATCATTTGGGCAACTATTGAATAAGACTTACAAGTATTGTTAACATTTTTACTTGGTAGCGATTTACATATGGAAACACTACGGTTGGATACAATGTTCTCCATTTACATGCTCTACTTAAGTGCTAGTTACTGGTATTGGCTTGGTATTGGGGTTTTGTTGGCTTATGTAGTGGCCTTCAATAGTTTGGTAACCCTTTCCTTGGTTTACCTTAACTGTAAGTCTACAAGGACTTCATGTTTTCTTCATACACATGTGATTTGCCAATTACGTGTTTAGTTTATCATTCTTACACTAACAACCTGATTTTTGTAGTGAGAAGTCAGATATATGATTCAGAGTCCATCTTCTGAAAGTAGAACTCCAAGGAGGGGAATGATCCTTCCATTTCAACCACTATCAATGACATTTTATAATGTCAATTACTTTGTCAACATGCCAAAGGTAATTTTGTGTAGTAACTTTATTTTCTTTTTTTACTGCAATACATTTAAGTAAAATTTTCTTTCTTTGTTATTTTTTCTTAGGAAATGAGTTCAAAAGGGATCCCGAAAAAGAAGTTGCAACTGTTTTCAAATGTTAGTGGAGTATTCTCCCTAGTGTTCTTACTGCATTAGTTGGTGCAAATGGAGCAGGGAAAACCACAGTGATAGATGTGCTTGCAGGCAGGAAAACTGGTGCATATATAGAGAGGGATATTAGAATATTAGGGTACCCAAAAGATCAAAGTACTTTTTCCAGAATTGCTGGATATGTTAAACAGAATGACATTCATTCTCCTCAAGTTACAATTGAGGACTCCCTTTTGTTTTCTTCATCTCTTCGCCTTCCAAAAGATGTCAGCGGAGAAAACAGGCGTGTTAGTGTCTAAGAAGAGTAAACTTCTAAAATATATGCTTCTTTCAGTCTTTTTCTTAATTTAAGCTATTGTTGTCTATTGTAGGTGTTTGTTGAAGAAGTTATGACATTAGTAGAGCTTGATACTCTAAGACATGCTTTGGTTGGTTTGCCTGGAATTGGTGGCATATCAATTGAACAAAGAAAATGCCTAACAATAGCAGTGGAGCTTGTTGCAAATCCTTCCACTATTTTCATGGATGAACCTACATCTGGATTAGATGCACGAGCAACGGCTATTGTGATGCATATCGTTCGTAATATTGTTGATACTGGAAGAACAATGGTTTGCACCATACATCAACCTAGTAATGATATATTTAAAGCATTTGATGAGGTGACTGAGAAGTTTGCTTTGTTTTTTATCCAAAGTACTCCTTCAAACTATAATTTACATATAATTATTGTGATTGTGGTGCAGCTACTTTTGATGAAACGAGGGGGTCAAGTTATATATGGAGGGAAGCTTGGAGAGCACTCACAAATTATGATCAACTACTTCTAGTACTATTGAATTGATTGATATAGTCACTTGTGTGCCATTTGCCTTCTAAATTCAAACATTGTGGAGAATAGTTATGAATTTCACTTCAAACTGAAGAAATAGAAATAAATTGTCCCATTTAGATTTGTAGTTATGCAAAGAACTTGCATAAGTTGACCATTTTGGGTTCTCTTTTCCAACTTCTAGTAACGAAGACTCTTACTTATCAAGAGGACCTTAAAATCTTATCTTTAGTTGTGAGAAAACCTGGACAAAGTGCAGTTGTTTATTCCTCTGAACTTATGTGTTTCCGATTAACATTACCCAAGTCAGATCAACAAAGCCTTGTCCCAAGTTACAAACTATATCAGGCCGGTTAGACAAATCTAGTTTTCCCATTCCACTCTATCATATGGTCATATCTTTTGAACCAAAAACATGTAACCAGATTTGGCACTCAAGTTCAATTCCATATAGTTTCTCTTATCTTTCTCAGTTAAGAAGACTCGTACACTATGAGAATAACCTTGTAGAAACAATACCTCCAAGTCTGGGAAAATGTATCAACCTAGAGATTTTAGATATTTCGCATGATAAAATGTTTGGGTTTATTCCAAATGAAGTTGTAGGACTGAGCAAAATGAAATTGTACTTGAACTTATCAAGCAATCTCTTGCATTGGCCGTTGCCATTAGAGCTTAGTAAACTAGACATGATTCTGGCCATTGATCTGTCATCGAATAATTTCTTTGGCATAATCCCTCCTCAACTAGGGAGCTACGTTGCACTGGAGTATCTCAACCTTTCAGGTAACAATCTTCAAGGCCCACTTTCAGTCTCCATTGCAAATTCGCCTTATCTTCAAGTCATTTGGTCAGTTAGACGGCTTTGTCTCAACTATATATATCAGCTCAAATCATTTGTTTTATTAATTTTATGCTATAGGTTTC